ATATTTTTTCTTAAATCAATGTACAATATATAGACAATTCTGAATTGATTTATGCAACCTTGCAATTATGGCGTCAATGAGAAGTGTGTTTTGTATAGCATGTTGTACCATCATTACGTCCTTCATTGCCTCTGCCACAATTTTCCCCGCCCACATCTCTCTAATTACCATATACCACCAATTCCGCTCCTCCTTTAAATAAGCTGTAAACGGACTTGTTCCCTTTCCTACATATAATAATTTAAAATAAATATCTTTGCATACAAAATTAACTCCCATCTATTGATTGGAAATCACATGGCAGTACATAGTACATATTTGATAAAGTTAAAGGCCCATTTAGTCCCAAAAATGCTTTCATTTTTATTTCTGAAAAAAAAAACCAACAAAAAAAACCAAACAAAAACTAGTTACACTTTTCAAATATTTACAAGATAAATGAATTTTTTTTTGCTTTTTAGCAATTGGTATATTTAAAGTGATTTAGTATTTTGTATGGAAGTCAAAATACTACTTTGTTTACATCTTTACGAAAAATATTACTGCACATCCAGTACAACTTTTTTTCAGCTGTTAAACATCTTACATAGTCTAAATTCAGTATGAAAACATAAGTCATCACATATTTATAACAACTAATGTTTTTCTGAGGCTTATTGTGCCTTTAAGATAAAGTTTCTTTGCCTAAATAAGATTATGACAAAATTTGGTAATCTGATCATTTTTTAAGTAAAGAAGACATGACTGTTAGTTTGTATCTTTGAGAAAAGTTGCTTTCCATTTCCTTATCATTTCACGCGCAAAATGGAACCTGTGAAGTCTCTTCTGTAAATTGGCTAAACACGGTTATTTTATATTGAAACATTCTTATTTTATTGCTAAAAACCAATGGGTAGCCCAATAGGTAGAGCGTTTTGACTTTTAATTGGGGAAAAACCCATTCCCTTTAAAGGACAGGGGAGTACTTTTAGTGTGAGTGATAAGGGGAAACCACTGATACAAATTTTCAGTTACCAAAAAAACGTTATTAGTTTCTTGGGGAAAATGAGGAAATAGTACTGCATTACTTTTACAACCACAGAGGACGATGTCTTACTGAATTGGGTTTTGGAAAAATCCAAATTTGGGTTTACTGCCGTAAACCGAGGGAAAAACCAAACCACCACCCCTTGTATTGGACAGAACCTTAAAAAATGAAGCTAAATTCAAATTCCTAAATTGAATTTAAATCAAAAAATCTAAACAAAATTTAAATGAAAAACCCTTTTTTGTTTTTGGGGATAAATGTGTAGGAGTATCAGACTTTTTTAAAAATTTACAAACTTTTTGGCCAATTTCTGATATTTGGCTTATATACAAAATTTTGTACTCGCCTAATCTGTGTATCTTGAGTGTTTGCACCCTACTAAATATGCTGAATAAACTGCTATGCTCGGATTGTTCCAAATCTTTGATTTCTCTCAACTTCACAATCTCTCGATAGTTGTTTGATACGTCACTCAGGAAAAATAATCTGCATAATATATAACCATTTTTTCAAATATTCAGATCAAACTAAATTTTTCGAAAAATGATAATTTCTATTGGCCCAAAACTGAGGAGGGTTTAACAGCTGTTAATTCAATTCAGACTTAAAGAATTACAAAAAAAAGGATTTTCAATTAAATTACAAGTATACTTTCTTTTTTATAATTTAACCCTTTACGGTAAATTACCTCATATATACGCGAAACAACAAACTTTCAATACCCCCCCCCCCCCCCCCCCTATTTTAGGCCTCAAATAGTGAAAAAATGTCCTATTTGGGCCCCAAACACATGTTTTCGTTTGAGAAATGTTGCTAAAACAAGAGGGCCATGATGGCCCTGAATTCGCTCACCTGCATATAGGCCCTCCCCAGCCAGGGCCAATTTTAACCCATGGGCTTTTATTTGAACAAACTTGGTTGACACCGATAAGAAGATGTTTCATGCTAAACATCTAAGTTCTAGCTCATTTGGGTTTTTTAAAAGAAGATTTTTTTAAGTTTTTACTATACACATATAGTTAAAAACAATAACACCCCTGGGGCGGGGCCAGTTTTGACCCCAAGGCTTTTATTTGAACAAACTTTGTAGATATTCACTAGAAGATGTTTCATGCTTAACATCTAAACTCTAGCTAATTGGGTTTTTTCAAAGAAGATTTCTAAGTTTTTGCTATACACATATAAGGAAAATCAATGACCCCCAGGGCGTGGGCCAATTTTGACCCCAGGGCTTTTATTTGAACAAACTTGGTAGACACTCACTAGAAGATGTTTCATGCCAAATATCTAAACTCTAGCATAAAAGAAGATTTTTTAAGTTTTTACTATACACATATAGTTAAATACAATGACATCCCTGGGGCGGGGCCAGTTTTGACCCCAGGGCTTTTATTTGAACAACTTTTGTAGATATTTACTAGAAGATGTTTCATGCTTAATATCTAAACTCTAGCTATTTGTTTTTTTTTCAAAGAAGATTTCTAAGTTTTTGCTTTACACATATAAGCAAAATCAATGACCCCCGGGGTGGGGCCAATTTTGACCCCAGGGCTTTTATTTGAACAAACTTTGTAGACACTCACTGGAAGATGTTTCATGCTTAATACCTAAACTCTAGCTATTTGGGTTCTTTAAAAGAAGATTTTTTAAGTTTTTACTATAGGGATATAGGGAAAATCAATGAACCCCTGGGACAGGGCCAATTTTGACCCAGGGGCTTTAATTTGAACAAACTTGGTAGACACTCATAAGAATATGTTTCATGCTAAATATCTTAGCTCTAGTTCTTTGGGTTCTTTAAAAGAAGAGATTTTACTATATGCATATAGGGAAAATCAATGACCCCCTGGGGTGGGGCCAATTTTGACCCCAGGGCTTTTATTTGAACAAACTTGGTAGACACGCACTAGAAGATGTTTCATGCCAAATATCTAAGCTCTAGCTCTTAGGGTTATTTAAAAGAAGATATTTAAAGATTTTTCTTTCGGTTGCCATGGCAACCAGAGTTCTGCATGGAATTAAATTCTTTGAACAATTTTTAAAGGTGACCACCAAAGGAACATTCCTGTGAAGTTTGGATGAAATTGGCTTAGTGGTTTATGAGGAGATGTCATTTAAAGCAAAAGTTTACGGACCGACAACGGACGGAAGACGGACGGTCGCCGGATGAAAAGCGATCACAAAAGCTCACCCTGTCACTTTGTGAAAGGTGAGCTAACAAGAGCTGTCCGTAAGACAGCGCGCTCGACTTTTTTATTGCTTGCCAATAAAAAAAGTTTTTGCAGTAAAAGGCAATACAAGAATCTCTGTATTTTTAAAGTGAACAATGGCCATGAGCATTAAGATATTTAGTGAAGAATTATTTTACTGAATTGTGTGATACCCTTGAACACTGCAGCAAAGTTTGAAATGTTTAAGTCAAAAGAGGGCTGGTAAGAAAGAAAAAAAAACTGAGTTGAGCCTTAAATAAATTTAATAGTATTAAACCACACTTTGAGAGAATAAGGTATTTTTACGTCACTCAGAACACCTTGGTAAATGACATAATAACATAATTTTTCAAGAAATCTATGCCAAGGAAGCAGTATATTTTTGTACTTGTATTTTTGATACCCTTGAATATTACAGCAATGTTTATATGACATAATTTATGGTAAAGTGAACAAGTGGATAGGAATGAATTTTTTTAGATTTTTTAAGTTTTTTAGTGCTTGCCTATAATACAAAACATTGACAGTTAAGGGCCATAATTCAAATAAAATCTTTGACAGAATTACCTTCTCCTGGACATGTTTGGGAATCATGATTGTAAACAAGTATTCCAACTTTCAAATTAATATCTCAAACAGTTCAGTCAAAAAGTGGACTGGTACTAAAAACTTAACCAAGATTCTAAGTCGATAAAAGGCCTTAATTTTTAAAACAAATCCTTGACAGAGTTACCTTCTCTTGCGTACAGATGGGGGTAATGATGTGAAATAGCATTAAAAGTTTCAAAGCAATATCTCAAAGGGTTAAGGCAATAAGTGGATTTTACCCATATTCAATGTATTTTCTAAGTCAAAAAGGGGCATAATTCTGTCAAAAACCTTGACAGAGTTATGTCCTCTTGTCTGTTGATGAAGGTCGTGATGGTAAACAAGTATGGTCAGTTTCAAAGCAATACCTCCAATGGTTTTGAAATAAAGTGAGGTGGTACAAAAAACTTAACCAAGCTCAATACACTTTCTAAGTCAAAAAAGGGCCATAATTCTGTCAAAAACCTTGACAGAGTTATGTACTCTTGTCTGTAGATGGAGGTTATGATGGTGAACAAGTATGGTAAGTTTCAAAGCCATACTTGTAATACTTCTGAAATAAAGTGGGGTGGTACGAAAAACTTAACCAAGGTGTGACGCCAACGCCGACGCTAACGCCGACGCCGACGCCGGGGCGAGTAGGATAGCTCCCCTTTTCATAGAAAAGTCGAGCTAAAAAGTGAGCACTTTTTCGGTGCCGCCCCCCATCCAAAAGATACATCAGAGGGTTGCCAGAAAGGTGCATGTGCCCCGTTCTGTTTGGGGGGTTTGAAGGGGGGCGGTAGTCCCCCTCATCATCAAGAAAATTTTGGACAGCACTGGAGGCTTTTCAATGAAAATGGCCATTTTTCATCATGAGGGAAAGGGTTAATGTTCTTGGCAAAGTTTTAGCCCATATAATGTCATGGACAAATGTTTCAAAATGGCTTCTTTGACACATCACATTAAAATTTAAGTTTAGGTTAGCTATAAGGAGTTTTGAATATTTACAATGTACATAATATAATAATCAACCTTTTATCAGTGAGCCCCATTCTACCAAGACCATAGTCTGTTTTGATGAGTGTTGAGATTTTGAGGATTGTCTCCTCCTCGGAGAGTGTGTTCTCCTCTAACTTGACCTTTTTGCACTGGATCTGATTGTCCTCCCAACAACACACAAATATCTGGAAGGTCATCTGCTTAATCTCTGTAAAAGTGACATCAAATATATATCATTACATATAATTGTTTATCACACACCCGTGCCGATTTTGCGACTCCGTAAATATGGTATTGCACGGCCGTGCATATATTTTGACGTGACGTCATTAGCGTTATACAAACGCGCTAAATGTTAGCTTTTTTTAAACTATAGGCGCGTCAATGAAAAATGACTCTTATTTCACTTTAAACGGTCTTTATTTTGGGTATGTGATAAATAAAATATTAAATTCGTGTAAGTTCATTACTGAATTTATTGCACTCGTTGAATAAAATAATATTATGCTCGCCAGAGGCTCGCATAATATAATTTTATTCAACTCGTGCAATAAATTCAGTATTGAACTTACACTCATTCAATATCCTCTATTTATCACATAAATGCGGCATGCATTAATGCAACTCTGTGAAAATGGTATTGCACAGCCATGTATATATTTTGATGTGACATCATTTTAATTATATAAACATAGCATTAAGATGAGGTAAATGTTAGCATTATGCCAAAGAAAAAAATAATTTCACTTCAAATCTTTATTTATGGTATGTGATAAATAAATATTGAATACCTGTAAGTCTATTAAATTCATTGAACTCAAAAATAAATTCAGTATTAAACTTACATTCATTCAATATCCTCTATTTGTGATAGTAATCACAGACATTAGTTTTCAGGCTATTATAATACTGCATGTGCTTGATTAACATTCCATTGTTTAACATTAACTGTCTTAATTCATTTATTTTAATTTGGAAACAGTTTGTTTAATGTATCATTATCAACAAGAGCTATGGGTTACGAGGTCAATGTGCTTTTAGAGTATTCTCTGTGCTTGATAGTAAAACAATAGCATGGATTTTATAGATGTAGAATTTTCTTTGTTCAAAAAGAGCGGAAATTCTGTCAAAATTCAAGTTAACCCTTTCACTGCCAAAGGGACGGCTTATGCCGTCCCTGTTATTTTCGGCATATTTGCCATATGGACGGCTTTAGCCGTTTCTATAATAATAATAGTAATAATAATAAATTAGTAATAATAATAATAAAAATAATAATAAATATAAAGAAAATTATACCATCGACAATAATTATTATCATACTAACAGATTTGGAAACATATATAGTTTTTATAATACTGATAATAAATAATAATAATTATATTAATTAGTAATATAGTAATTTCTTAGAAAACCCTCTGGCAAATAGGTGATCACTAAAACAATAACCCTCTGGCAGCGAAAGGGTTAAATTTATTGGTCTTCAGGACAGCAACCTTACTATTACGCTCTATTATATGTGTGTGACGTTTCAACCCATTCCATTTAGTAAATATAGAGATACCTGGTGAACTTGCATACCAAAACTTAACCTAAGTGTGACACTCAGATGCCTGGGTGAGTAAAACTGCTCTCCCTATTCTTTGAATAGTTGCGCCAAAAATACAGAAACTGAAGTTATCAACAGTATAGAGCCTTGTCAGACTTCACAGATGTTCAGGCTGGCCTGGCTCTATACTGGTGGCAAAGGCTAATCATTTTCAATTTCAAAAGGTTATGAGTTAATCACATTACCTCTTTATTGTCTATAAACACATCTACAGCAAAATTTATTAAATTACTTTTATTCTAGTAAGCAGTTAGAATTTATCATGCTATATAATAAATATGTTACAAATATGTTAACTGTTGTGTTATTTGACTGGGTATATCTTATATGTTATGTATATGTTTATATAAAGAGTTTTAAGAAATTAATTTTTCGAGCGAACAAAGTGAAGCTGATAACCTTTAACTGACTTACAATAAGCTCCGCCTATTCAAATCGAGTGCATTATGTTAATAGGCGGAGTCCATTAAATTAGCTCATTTAACATATAAATTTAATACATACAGTTGAGTTACAGCACTGTTTGGTAAAATACTTCAGCAAAATTTAAACAATATTGAGCGATTTCATTTGCAGACAAACTTTTGTGGACTGTAAATATAGGTTATATGAGTTTACAACTATTCATACTGACTCCGGAATGACGTAAATTAAATTCTCTGTAAGGTCTGCTAAAAATAGCCTTATTGAAAAATCCAAATCGGCTACACAGCAAAAATGAGTTACTGGCAATCAAATTAACATGTAAACTTAAGATTAGATTTGAACTTAAGAGACAGATTAATTTAAAGTGTCACTTATTATTAAATGTGTAGGAGAAGTTACAGGTGACCTTAATTAATAAATGCCTTGGAGATCATAACAGATATCGCTAAAATTTTACATAAAAATAACTATGTATAAGTAATATGTCTAAAATTCCAAAGCTCTCTTCTGGTCTCACTCTACCAAATATTGTATTATCAGGGGATTTATATATTTGCTTACAAGGATTTCTTTGGCTTATTTTATAGCCAATATTCAGTCATATTCTCAATTGAAAATAGTATATTACTTTTCCAATCCAAAGGAAAAATTGCCAATTGAAAGATACAAAATAAAAATATTTAATAACAAATTTTAAATCTTTTTGAAAATATTAGGGCTTCTTCACTGTTATGGTGCTTAAATGTTTGAAGATGCCATCCTAAACAAGGATTCTTTGCATTCATTTAATCACTGTGAAATTCAAGTCATGCATATTTTCCCCAATTTTTAACAAAACATCACGGAAATTCAAAATTCCATTAGTATGGATCACGTTCTTAAAATCCTGAGAGAAAAAAACCTGGCTTAAAGGTGAAGTACACCCTTGGATGACTCAAATTACTTCAGTGCATTATTTCAGGTAATGTAGAAGCAAGCAAAGGTACAAAGCCCTTGATATTCTAAACAGGAAGTGTTATCATTATTTCTAAATAATGATATTATATAGTATCTCTGGTTATTAATGACAAGCAGCAAATCAATTCATATAAGGGCCGGAAGATCTGGTGCCAATAGGAATTGCAATCAGCATTGTGATAAAATATATGCCACTCAGCTGTTTTTTTTTGTTGTTTTTTTCAAATACAGAGAATAATTAAAGAAATTCCGATAAATATTTTTTTTTTAAATTCTTTAATGCAGCTTCCATAGCTTATACTGTAACCTCCCCCCATCATAGAAAAATAAACAAATGATTGTTTACTTTTTAGAAAAGGTAAAATGTAAATAATGTCATGCAAAATGATTTTACAGCAGACGAAATAAAATTTCGTTGGATCTTAAATTTTGTGGATCGACGAAAACCACAAAAACTAGTGCCCCACAAATTCTTTGCTATAGTTTTATTTGGACAAATAACATTTTACTTCCTTTTCATACAGATTGCGCAACTGTTTATTTATACTTTAAATTAATACTTAATAAATGATTCAAAGTTCCTACAGTTATGGGAGCACTACTGATCTTAATGTTTATGTCAAAAACAACTTTACTTATGTGCATTATGCTAAGCATTTAAGGTTTTAATGAAGGGTATTTGTGATGGTAATGAAATATACTGTAAGCATCTTAAATCAAATTGTTTAATTAGCATACAATCATGGTACATATAATAAAAGCACTGCTCCTTTCCCTTACCTGAGCATTTTGAATGACTACCTACAACATTTACATATAATTTTGTCAAATTTAATAATCACAGTTAGGTTTTGTTACTCAAAGACTCAAACCCCATTTCTGTAAGCTAAACTGAGAAAAATTAGGATTGAATTGACTGTCCTTCAGTTTTGTAAAGATATTAATCCAAATTGAGTTACAAGCCATTAAATTTAGTTTTATACAAATTCATTTTAGTTTGACTGTGTTGAAAGCTACATGTTTATGTTTATTGAAACACTCTCTAATCAGTTCCAAGAACCAACCAGTACCAAGCAATGAATGTATAATTCTTGCTCAAGGAAACAACAGCTTCAACAGACAGGGTTTGAACACAAGTCATCAGCAATCCTTAGATTACTAGTCTGACCTGTAAATCACTCGACCACGACACCACAGCCATTCTCAGTGTGATCTTTTGACCACTAGAATAGTTTTATATGAACTTTAAAAGTAATATTTTACGTTAGTTAGAAATAAACAGACCTGTAGCAGGACCTTAAATTAAAACTTTTCCAAACATCAGACATTTTGTGTTCAAAAATAGAAGTTATGGTTTTGTGGAGAATTTATATTTAACAAGGGGTTAATATTTCTGCCATGTAAATAAACCAGTGATTGTGCATTCATACAAATTCTTAATAATGTGACAGTGAAACAGACTCTAAACTGATTTCAAGTATCATATCCTTTAAATATTAAAGTATTAATTTAACCATCTATTACAGATACATGTAATTGTTTTCAAATATAAGTTACTACCTACATGTACATCTACATGTAATTGTGTTCATTCGAAACTAACACCTAAACATTCATGTGATTGTGTTCAAAAGTGACTAATACCTCCAAGTACATGCAATTGTGTTCAAACAAAACTAATACCTGTTGTGGATGAGTTTGTTTCTTGTGTTAAAGCTTCAAACAAGTTCTTTATTGTCCTGTAGTCATTTGACATCTGTTTTAATGAGATAATCTCATCAAATTTATGATAATCTGAAATATAATTATTATTATTATATACCAAACTTCTTAAGCATTTTTTTCATGCACATTGACACGTTCAAAAGTACTGTACAGTATAACCAGATAAATGATACAATATTTAAAAGAAAGAAAAAAAATCAATATTGTTCAAGTCACAAATTCAAATCAAATGTAGTTTAAAAAAGTTAAAAAGACCCACATAAATAATAAAATTCATGTAAGTACCTAAAAAATAATCATTCCAAATTAAATAAGTGAGTTTTAAGTGCTCTCTTAAACACTGTTAGAGTTTTACAGCTTTAAAGTGTTCTAGGTAGGGCATTCCAGAGCTTAGGGGCTGCCGTCATATAACACATCACTATGGTAACCGTAGTTAGTACTATCAATGACGGTGACAAATAGCTGATCATACATCTTTGTTATCTAAAACAAACAGCCCTGGCTGGAGTCACACTTGACTACTTTTTAAATTTTTCATATAATCAAAAACTTTGGTGAAGGACATTCAAAGGTCAAGGTCTTATTCATTTCAAAACAATTTAATTTGGAAGTTTTGTCTTGAATGCTTTGTCCATGTATTAACCAAATCCATCAACAAATAACAAAGTTATCACAAATCTGGTTTATTGAAAAAAAACTTTGACCCCAATGGTCAAGGTCATTTAGAGGTTAACATAAACTTCACATCAAGCAGTATGATGGTGCTGTCCAACATGCCATTGTGTCCAAAAATTTATTAATCTATGAATAAATAACAGATCAAAATTTGAATAAACTTTTCATTTTGACCAGATGGGTCAAGGTTATTTAAAGGTGAAGGTCACATTTCAATATTTTGTCATGTGTTGTTTGGTCAAAGAATGAATTAAATTGTTCAATCAATATCTAAGTTATGACAATTTTGCAAAATTGAAAGCCTAGTCTGGCTGTTTTTGCAATGTCACCTATAGTGCCTAGCACCCTTACATTCCATAGAATCTGAACTTATCATAAACTCAACTGTTTTTGGCTTATTCATTTACAATTCTGATCATAAAATCTCTTAGATTAACAATTATAAATAATTTTACTAAATTTTTAAAGGGCAAGTTCAATCCAAAAAGTAAGTGGGGGAAACAAGCAAGATACTGTATAAGTGGTAAAGTTATCTATGCAGAAATATTGGCAAATGGAGGAAAATCGCTAAAATTTCCTCTAGCATAACTAACTTGTCATAAAATTCTACCATTGCATGAATCGCTAATATATTTTTGTGTGAAATGTGTGGTAGTTTAAATTCGCTAACTTTCCAACATAAGGAAATATCTTCTTATACAGTAATACACAGGTTTCTTACTTAGATCTGTGTCAGGGACTTCTATGGGGTCCATTCTGATTCTCTGACGCTCTCCCTCCCCTCCTTTATTTTTTATACAATTCAGAATGACCTCATGACCTGTTATATTCATGAATTTTGTTTTCTCCTCTTCTGTCAGTCTGCTGTACAGGTCGGATAAAACTCTATAAAATATAAACAAGAGGACAGCAGTAGTCCTAGATCACTCACATGAGATATAATGGTAGAAAAGGCAAAACTTTTCAAATTTCAATGCAGAGGAGGCACACATTATTACATCACATTGCATGTATGTCATTTTTACTCCATATTTCATAAAATACTAAAACAAGTCCACTCGAAAATGCTAACAGGCTAAATATCTAAGCTCTGGGTATTGTAGTTTTCAGCAACACTTAAATATGTTTTCCTATACAAGTTTATACAAATAAGTGACCACGGGGGAAGGGCAGATATAATAGTTTAAGTCAATGCAGTGTCACAATGGAAGAGTTAAATGTGTGCCCCTTCATAAACTATATAAATTAATTGACCTCCAAGAAATGGCATATTTTGACCCAAGGGGCATGATATATATATACATTTTTATAGAAGACTACAAGGCAATATTTTATGCTATCAGAATGGATCATCTATTATAACTTGATTAGGGGGCCCAACAATGGAATATTCTGGGGTTTTGATAAAATCCCCGATGGTTGTAGCAGATGTTTTTCGATAAAAACCCGGGTTTTAATGAGGGGAACAGATAGGGAAACCCATTGGGGGGCTTGGAAAAAGGGGGGGGTTCCATTTAAGGGAGAACTTTTGGGCTTAGGTGAGCTAAAAGGGGTTAGGGTTGGTAAAAACCTTTTCCCTTTTCTCTTTTTAGTCTGGGTTACCTTACCCTTGCGTTGTCAAACCATAAAATTTATTTCTAAAAAAATTACATTTTGGTTTTAATGAAACTAGGTTTTTCTTAATTTGATAAATAAATGCGGGTCTGGAAAACTGAAAAACATTTAAACCAATTTTTTATAAAAAAAAAAAAATACAAAAGAGCATTTAATTCCCCCAAATTTTAAACCCCTCATTCCCTGTAAAAAATTCTAAGATAAAAAGGGGCATAACTTCAAAAATATATCTTTCAGAATTATGCCCCTTGTCATGATGAGTAGTATTCCAAGTATAATGTTAATACCTTTTAAAACTTTTTAATAACAGCTACATTTAAGCCTTTGCAGCAAAACAATGACAATGGTGAAGTGTTCACGATAGCTTGAATTTTTCTTTGAAACAGACATAAGCTTAAAATGTAAAATCGGGCACAAAACAAGCCTAAGTTTTATGTTAAAGCCTTTTTGGTAAATTTCTAAATAATTCTATATAGCTTCGTTTGTAGATGACAATTTTATGAGAGAAAGAATGATAAGATGTAAATTTCATATCTCAAAAAAAAAACATACTTGGCTGGTAAAATTCTGACATTGGCAGTTGATACATTGATAAAATCTTGCATGGCAGCCATGTTATCGTTATCGGCAAAATTATACAATGCTCGGAGGTACTGGAGCGACGTTCTGTCATCGTAGTCATCCGCATGCTGGAAGTAAATAAGTATATTATAATTTTTGCCTGCTTAACTCAATATACAAAGTTTTGAAAACACAAAATCAAAATAATGTCGTCACCTTTTGAGTGTGAGTAATATACATTTGTACTGGATGTCCAAAGATCAATTTCAGAAATATCACCTTAACAGAGGTAGGATCAAAAACCAGGAACATCCAGAATTCCTCATCTAATTTCTTGTTATTGAGTTAAGCTTTACTAGTGAAGAAAGACCAGAAGTGCCCTTTCATGCATTATTTCAGGCACAAACAGGCACCTGAGTGGAACCATCGACGTTCTATAAGCTAGCTGGATAGCTTTCTCACATGAAAGAATCCAAAGTCCCAATAAACAATGGTGAAGGGCAAGTAGTTTGAAGTCAACCCCCTTAACCACAGTTTGTATTAACAGTATGACAAAACTATAAGGCAAAACTTACTTCCATTGCATTGGTTATCTGCATTTTTGTGTTTTTTATATGGATCTTTAAATCTGTTATTTCCTTGAGACAGAAAACCGTTGTATCTTTCTTGTCTAATGGCACTATTGGTTTACAGCGACTGAAAATAAAACAAACGTTGCCAAATACTATACATTAATACACATTAATGTATATGCAATATTACTAAATTACTTAGTAAGTTCAACAAATCATATTGTTTAAAGCTGCATGCCTCCCAATGAGCAAAAATACAAGAAAATCCACCTTGAGAAAAATGTACCAAGATTTTAAGGGAAAAAAAGATATTATATATATATTACCATTATAATTATGCAATTTATGACTGATAACAACAGCTGTCAGAGGAGCAGCAATATACAATTTCTCAGTGATGGATAGGTCATTACAACACCATCGCAGACGCCTCCAAGTTGGTCTGGATATAAACTTTGCTTTTATTCCAAAAGGTTTTTATACTATCTGATGTTTTCAATTTGATTGCTTATTTTCCTATAAAATGAATAACATATAAAACTTGTTCATTTTTGATAACTATTATGTAATTTGTCTAACTTCATATGTAATTCACTAATAAACATTACAAAACTGGAAAAATGGTCACCATTATGTATGCCATATATATAGCTGATTGATACAATAACTTTTTCCATAACTGTATACATTTTATCAGAAAATAATCAATCTAAATGAAATCAGTAAAATATGTAGAAACAAAATATGTACAAATAAGTAATTGTACTTACTAGCTAGATGGGGTCATAGATCGGGATTGACTAAATCCTCGAGTTTTCATTTCTAGATCTGACCAATAGTCAGTTGTGCCGTTCATACGCTCTTCTAGAAATACCTTGAACATGTCTGTCAGAAATACCTTCATCGAATATAATCATAAAATTTATATAACTGAATTTAAGGTAGATCTATTATAAATGGATCCTTAAAAATAAATTTTTTAGCAACACAACAAGAGCTGTCAACAGAACAGCATGCTCTACTATTCTTAGAACTTGAATTTTTTAAAAAACTTGAAAAGTTCAGAAAAAAACCATAATTTTGTCAAAATCCATGTTACTGTATGTCTGCTCTCACAGTTATTTAGACAATTTGATTAATTGTTTCAAGTCAGGGAAATGAACTGTCATGTAAATTTTTAGCTTAAAAGAGAGCAACCGTACTCCACTGGTGTTACCATGGTTGCCACACTATGGTTGAACTTTTGGAAGCAAGTTAATATGGGTTGAAACATCACACACTTACTTGGGAGCATAATACAGGGTCACTGACCAAGGCCAATAATACAATGGCAGCATGGCTGAGTGGTTAACGTGTAGGACTAGTAATCTAAGGATTGCTGACCATGTGGGTTCATACCCTGTCAGTGGCAAGCCAGTGTTTCCTTGAGCAAGAAACTTTACACTTATTGCTAAGTACTGATTGGTTCGAGGAACGAATTTGAGCATGTTTCAATAAGCTTATAGCTTCCAACACAATCAAACTAAAAAAAAATTGGTATAAACTAAATGTGCTGAAGAACTTACCTTTTGATAAAATTTTCTATCTGTTGCATGTTCCTCAAGAAACTTTTCTTTATCAAAATGAAACTGTTCGAACCTTAACTTGTATATGACATCCCTGGTGTAAAAATAAGAATCATGGTGACATTTTAACTAACACATCCCATTTTTTTTTGGTTGGGTTTTATGTTGCACAAACACAGGATAGGTTAGGTCATTTGGCTGCTTTCCAACTTTACAGGTGGAGGAAGACCTCAGGTGCCCCTCTGTGCATTATTTACGGCTCAAACGAGCACCAGAGTAGAACCACCAATGTTCGGTAAGCTAGCTGGATAGTTTCCTGACATACAAAACTCAAAAGCTTGAACCTACAGCAGTAACAGGCAAGTGGTTTGAAGTCAATGATCACTCAATCACTTGGCTACATCACACTGAGGGCGACTGAACTGAATGTTCATGCACAGAAGAGAGAATGAAATCTTCACGCAGGGTTGAAAGAATGAAATGATTACAAAAGGGTGATAGAATGAAATTGTCAGGCGATCGTTATTTGTTTTTCCTCACGAATATCGCATTTATGTATTATTTTGTTCTCGTATTTGTATATATATCTGGTGTATTTGTCTATTATTTATATTTAATATTTCTCTACAGTCCAATATACAATCCATTATCTTATATCATTCCTATATTATTCCATTTCATCACATTCATCCTAACAACTAATTATTTATTTCATTTACGCATAACTTGCATGCCTGGTCCCAGTAATTTTACAAACTTTCCGTACAAACCATCTCACGCATGTGCACTTTGATAAACATATTTCTAAGGCTTGCCCCAGAAATTGTTTCTAATTATTTATTAAATTATCAAGGCATTTGCTTTATGTCCTTTACAGGTAATTGTTGTTAATCATTCTGTTTTGTCAGGGGTGAACATTTTACAGAGGCAAGTTCCAAACACAAATTTTCAAATAAATCTTGAAAAAATAATTACTAACTTACCTGAATAAATTGACCATTAGCTCCAGGCATGTATCTGCAATGAATTTATTCTGAGCAATAACTCTTTTCTTTTTGTTTTGTCTGAGATCCTCAATGTTATAATTGAATGGTCTGTAATTAAAAAGGAAACATAATTTTATCAAAACATCAAATGGCTTTATTGAACAAGAGCTGATGGAAGGACTGCATACTCCACTATTCTCAGTGCTTAATAGAAAAACAAGAGCCTAGATAAAGTAGAATTTTCAAAAGAGTTATGGGTCTTGGTCAGATACTGTATAGTTTCCATGAGATCAAAATTTTACAATACCATAATAAAATATTATAGTTTCAATGAGATCAAAATTTTACAATACGGTATAGGCTCAAGAAGATCAAAATTTTACAAAACCTTATAGTTTCAATTAAGATAAAAATATTACAATACTGCATAGTTTCAATGAGATTAAAATTTTACAATACCGTGTAGTTTCAATGAGATAAAAAAAACAACATACATTACCTTATAGTTTCAATGAGATCAAAATTTTATGATACCGTATAGTTTCAATGAGATTAAATTTTTACAATACCCTGTAGTTCCAATGAGATAAAAAAAACATACATTATTGTATAATTTCAATGAGATCAAAACTTTACAAAACCGTATAGTTTTAAATGAGATCAAAATTTTACAAAACCGAATAGTTTCAATATTATTTAATTTTACAATACCATTTTATAGTTTCAATGAGATAAAAAAGAAAAAATACATTACCGTTTATAGTTTCAATGAGATCAAATTGCATCTTGAGTTGTGACCATTTATTCTTGAATACTGTTTTGCAATTTCCCTGTAGGTAAGCTTGGTACAGAGGAACTACCCTTGAAATTGAGCAATTTAGGCTTTTTGCTGGTACCTGGAGAGTCATCTTCTGGTATAAATACTGTTCCTTCATCAATATCTACTAAAATCAGACCTTCAACCTAAAATACATGGATTAATAAACAAAATAATACTGACAAATTAATGATAAATATAAGGTCATTAGTACAGGAACAGATATTCATGTTACAAACATATATAATACATTTTTCTTCTTCTTTTCTATTTACAAAATAAACTGGTCCTACTGCAAGAAATACAATTTTAGATCAGTACATTTGACAGTAAAACTTCCATCAAAATACTAGTGAAAAGTTGTACTAATATCTACAACATTAATTTTTAACTTGAATCATCATTAGACACTTTGTTTATACAGAATTTTTACTTTAGTTTAACTGTTAAAAGAAGCCACAAGTTTTTAGACCTATTTTTTAAACGGCTCCGGGAACCCCAACCAAAGTACTGAGAAATTTGATTTAAAAAGGTTTTTTCCTAAAGGGAAAAACAATACTTACCCATGAGGGAAATTTAAAAACCCATGGGTTAAACGTTTCATTAATTTCTAGTTTTAAAACTTGACCACTGGGGTTTTCCACCATTTTAACATATAAGATATTTTTCAGGGGAAACCCAATTTCATCTTATCAATTTAACCCTTTTTCCCCAAAACCCCTTTTTTTTCTTCCCATGAATATTATTTTTAGGGGGAAAAACACAAAAAAAACAGTTTTCCAAATTTAAATTAGACGGCAGTGTTTTTTTTTCACCTTTAAAAAAAAGGGAACCTTTTAAAAGGGCCCCACCTCTTCCCAAATTTAAAAATTTTTCCCTTAAAATCATGCAGTTTTTCCACAAACCTGAACTTTTGCCAGCTTTTTTACTTAGTAAATGAACAATAATTTTTCCCAAAATCAAGAGGATATTTTAAGCCTCTTCCCAATTAAAGTGAGGAAAACCACTGATGGGATACCTGCATTTTTATAAGAAATATTTTCTAGAAAATAGTACACTATGTATGTATCATCACCTTAGTGCAGTAACGGGTTAAGTTTTTCTAAATTTAATAGGATTTAAATCAGTTATTATTGTATTAGGGTGACAGTATGTACATATCGTCACCTTAGGGCAATAATGGGTTATGTCCTTCTAAATTTAATAGGAGTTAATCAGTTATTGCACTAAGATGACAGTATGTATGTATGTGAACTCACTTACCTGCTCTACTTCTTCTTTATGCCTGGAATGTACACCATACATGAACGTACCTGGAGATTCCAGGTATCCTAGTGCTGATGATGGGAGAATCGTGGAGTACGTGAATCTCCATTTGAACGGTAATACTAGATTCATCACAGACTGAAAGAAAAATTATTACAATTTTTTGTTTGTACATGCATTTTAACTTAAATTGATGTGGCAGGGTTCATAAGGCAACTTTTCTTTTCAGGTTTTTTGGTAAAAGACCTTGCATACTTAAAGCCATGTATTATTTTAAACAACAGGGCATTTCAGTAGTAGAACCACTGACATATGTAAACTAGCTTGACAGTTTCCTCACATGAAAATCTCCACAGTTACTGGCAGGATTAGACCTCTATGTGGCGATGGGTAAAAGATTAGGTACTAAACAGGGTAAAAGACAACATACAAGAGCTAACATACAAGAAGAGGCATCACTTTGCAGAAAATAATTTCAAGATTACCTGCCCTTTTGAAATGACATACAAAAAGAAGCAAAACTTTGCAAAAAAATAATTTCAAGATTATCTGCCCTTTTGAAATGGTTTTCTTTTATGACAATTAAAACATGTATGCCAAGTTTAAAGTGAATAGCTTTTATAGTTTCTGAGAAAGTGGCTCTTATCAAAAAAGTCAGCCATAGGCAAAACAAACGCAGATAAGAGCTCCTAGAAAAGTGGAGCTAATAAAGTAACCATGGCTTAATATCTACGATGTTAACATCTTTAATAACAAAGTCGTAAAATGACAGAACTATACCTCCATAATAAGAGTGAGAAGTGCATAATTTGAGGACAGGAATACTATTCTCTCCTCCACGAGAATACAGGAGAGTATTTTTAGAAACTCTTCAGCATTGAAACACAGAAACACCAAATGCAGTTCAAGGTCAATCACAGGCTTGTCTGGATGAGTTGGAGGCATCAAAGTCACATTTAAATTGTATAATCTGAAATTCTAGACAATACAAAAAGCAGAATGAAAATGGGAATTTTATATCATGTAATTTTATTCAATATAGTATGTATGGTTTTTGAAATAAATATGCATACTTGTTAATTAAACCTTAGTCATATTAAGCACTTAAACTGTCTGAGCATGTACACAGCTGACTTGTAAATTTTATGACTGGTAAATTTTACCATTTTAAAACCATCCCTTCAGTTTACAATGTACTGAAATTTCAAAGCAGAGCAAATCTAATACTTAATTTAGTACGGTATAGGTTAAAAGACAATTCTTACCACAGCTAAATGGCCAGCTGGAGGCACAGGGATATGTGTAATAACATTGGCATATTCCTTGAGGAATGTTGTCATCTCCTCTGGGTCTCTTTCAATGTAAGACAACATACTGAAAAAAGAATAATTACATGCATTTTACTTACATTCAATGTATTCTCTGCCACACAGCACATTGCAATTTGAGCAGCAATTGTGAATGATGTGGGTACTATGTATAGTATAGGATATCAGCTATTAATGAGGACGATGTGAGGCTTCCCAAAGGAAAGGTGTAGCCACTGAAGGCAATGGAGGACTCTGCAGAGGATATGAGCTGTCACTGAGGAAAATGTGAGGGCACTGTAGAGAATATAAGCTGCCACTGAGGACAATGCAGGGGCACAGTATAGGGTATGAGTTGCCACTGAGGGAAATGTGAGGGCTCTGTAGTGGATTTGAGCTGCAATTGAGGGCAATGTAAGGGCTCTGTATAAAACATCAGCTGCCATTAGAGGGGCAATGTGGAGGTCCTGCAGAAGACATGGGATTTCATAAAATGAGAGAACTTGCAGAGGAAATATCCGGGTTTAAGGAAGGCATGCCCCCCCTCGAAAAGTAAATCCCCAAGATTAGGAAAACACATTCTTTAATCCCTATCTGTTCCCCTTTTTCCCGCGGTGGTTGGTATCCTGGGCATCCCCCTTCCCTTTGGTTTAAAACTTAAAACAATTAAAAAAATTGTAAAATTTTTTTGGGTTTGTCATTTTTTGGTAATCTTTTTAAAGGAAATGCCTTAACTTTATTTATCTAGAAAATTTTTTAGATAAATTTAAAAAAATGGTTTTACAAACCAGCCCTAGAGGGCCCCTGTAAAAGGAAAAATGATTTAAAAAAATTTTTGATTTTAAAACCCAATTTTCAATGTACCCCTTTACCCAAAAATTCTTTCAAACGTTTTATAATAAAGGGGTATTTTTATATGATAATACAGCACTTTTGGGAAAAAATAGCACTTCATTTTTCTTCGTTTCCCTTTAAATTCTTGATCCCCGGGATCCCAATTTTAAATTATACATTTTCTGAATCACCCCAAGGGGGTTAAAAAAAAAAAAATAAGGGTTTAAAAAATTTAAAGAAAAAAAATTTTAAATCATTTTTTTTTTTCTATTTATAACGAGACTGGGGGGTTTTTAAAAAGTGGGGTTTACAGTCATGATTTTGTTATGTTAAAAACCTTTTTTAGATTTAAAACCAAAATCATAGTGGGGAATCAAAAGAATTTTTGTTTAAATTTTATTAATTATTAAAAATCAAAATTTTATTATTTTAATTCCTGAGATCCAATTTAAAAATTAAAAAAAATGCTTGTTTTAAAAGGGATTCCAAAATGTTTACATATAAGCTGATAAACCGCCACCTTGGAAAAGATGATTATAATCAAAAGTTAGCTTTAAAGATCAATACTATGCTCATCTTTGGGTAAAATATTTTCATCACAGAAATTTATTGAAATCTAGAAAATTATTCCTGAATTATGTCTAATTTGAATAAGTAAATGTATAAACTGTGTTTAACCCTTTACGTCATATATGCGCGAAACAACGCACTTTGACCGCCCCCCCCCACTTTTTTAGGCCTGAAATAGTGAAAAAATGTCCTATTTGGGCCCCAAACACATGTTTTCGTTTGAGAAATGTTGCTAAAAAAGTGAGCACTATTTCGGCACCGCCCCCCATCCAAAAGATACATCAGGGGGTTGCCAGAAGGAGGATGTGCCCCCTTCTGTTTGGGGGGGTTTGAAGGGGGGCGGAGTCCCCCTCATCGCCAAGAAAATTTTGGACTTGTGAAAGGTTTAAAAAATTTCCCAGGCCGATTTAAAAGGGAACGTGTAACCAACGCTGGAAAAAACCTTTTTACTCTATCTTTTAATCCCTTGAGAAGTTTTCAGCATTTTTTAAATAAATTTTTTTATTTGGAAAAAAAACAAGGGAAAATTTTGTGATTTTTTGGCCCAAATTTTTAGGGTGTTTTCCCCCCGTTTTCCCTGTTTAAAAAGAAAATTTTAAGCCTTTGGGATTTTTTACAAAGGGGAATGGTTCCCTTCAACATTTATTCCAATTTTTATTAGTATTGAAGGGGGGATTTTTCATAGGGTTTTATTAAACAGGTTTTTTAACTTTAACAGGAGGGTTTTCCCGTTTAAAAACCCGGGGCCCCCTTTTTCACAATTATGCTCACGAGGGGGAAAAGGGTTTTAAAAAACTACATTTCCCTTTTTACTTGTCAAATTTAATTGGTCTTTTTTTTATAAAAAAAATTGGGGCCATTTTTTTTTTTTTACACTATGTAATTATACTGTGATTTAAAATGAATCATATTTTCTCTATGTGTATTCAAAAGATGTTTATTCTACATTTCAAAAGAGACTGTAAAGACTAATTATCAGTCTTTTAGAATATGAAATTCGAGTATAATACATTTTCAAATTCAGGACGGTTTTTAAATTTTAACTTTTTTCCAAAAAAACTGACGCAATTAAAAAAAACCCTAAAGGGGGTTTTTCAACTCCCTGATCCTTTCATGGGGTTGAAAAAAAAAGAAAACTGGTGGGAGGGGAAATTTGAATTTAATTTTAATTCAAAGTTCAAGGTTTTAAAAACCCTGTATGGTTAGGTTTTAAATTTTAAAAACCCGAAAATAGAAAAATGTTAAAATTAAAAGGTGAAAGTACTCAGGGTTTAAAATACTTTCTCTATGCTATGAATATTTTAAACTTAGGCCAAAAAAAAAGGTTGAAAAATAAAAAATCAAATTTCTGAATTTTTTTGATTTCCCTTTTTCCCTTTTTGTCACTGTCAAAAATTTTGAGAAAACACAAACATAATTTTTTTTGTAAAATTAAACATGGGACAAAATGTATAAATTGTAATTATTCACGAAATGCAGTTATCATGTACATTTTAAGTTCTTATTATGTTTGATATAACTTATTTCTGCTGACTTTTCCATTCATTTATGAAATGATGCTATTGTCTAAAATTCAAATATAAGTTCTGCCATAGTAAATATATTTTGAAATTATCAAAATCAATATAGTTATACGCTCATAAAAATGTTTTTTTACAATGTTGTATTTAAGTGACTTACTGATAAGCATAATATAAAAGGCAACATTCACAATAACTAAATACACTATAACTGCATAATAAGTCAATATAGAATATATATGGGGTGATTATAAAAAGCAAATATATAATTAATTATACAATTTGCTGACAGGATAAATGGGAGAATATAGTATGAATAAGATCATTATGATCTGAGGTGCTGGCGGAGGGTTACAACATACCGGTGTTAATAAATTCTACCAATCAGTACTAAGTCTTATACAATGAATCTATAATAATGCAAATTGTCAAGTTCATGTAAGAAATTCGATTGTTTTCAAGATTAATGTTTCTATTTTGTGCTTCAAAGAAGCAAAAAAAAGTCACGTGATCAACGGCTACCCTAACTTTGTGCAAAAGAAAGTACTTCAAGAATAACGTCATAATTGCAAAGTAACTTTTATTTATAACATGTTTTTGAAATAATGACAATTGAATTGATCATAAATAATTGTCATAAAGTTCAAAGCGCAATAAAAAATGTTATGCACACACATAGTTAATTGTCCATGATGTAGAAATACATTGTTATTTGTGTGTGCTTCAGTTCTTTATGGTATAGTATAAAATGTGTATAAATCAATCAAAATTCAAGAACTTGCAGTATTTGCATAATATTATAATACACAGTCTACCCATTTGAAAGTAAAAAGGGAAGTTTTAGAAAATTTCAATTTTGCTTGGTTATTTCAAGTTTATGAAATCCAAATTTTTGTGTAACATATTGAGCTTTATTTTCTTTATTTCTGCACAACTGTAACGTGAAATGGCCACACTGTCCAGGTAAGTTAGCAAAGCATAGAATAATCATTTAAAATTTAAGTTGGAGTCATATAAGTTTTCATTGTATATGTACGTAAGGATTAGAAACTGCAAGCCACTGTTTATCCCTGTGTTATCGTAAGAGGCAAATAAATGGGTTCAAATTACTAGAGTCTATATGAATCTCTTAGCTCCTGAAAGTAAGGTGGTTTTGACCCCTAGTGTTTCTTTAAGTTTTTAACATCCGAGAATAGCCAAAATCAATTTTCCTGTATTGGCACAATTATATAATGACATAAAGTTGTGTTGGAAAAGCATTGAAATTCTGTGAAAATATGACGTTAATGGGGACTTAAAGGGGAACTTTACAAAAAAATTTATATATCTAAACTGAAGAATAAAATGATTATATTGCCACCAAAAGACAAGTTATGTCATGTGACACGATAATTATACAACACTTATGTACAAAATGTTTATTCCAGGCCATCCTGAAGTGTTTTAAATGGAAATTGATCAAGTGAAACAAAAAACAAACAAAAAAACAAAAAAATCTAGTGAAAATAGCGAAAAGTTGACAACAAATGACACCAAAGAATGCACAAGAATGTCACCTTTGTTATGAAAGCAGCAATGTTAAAGGTCAAACATGAAGCAAACTGTTGTCCATGGTGGTTAGTGAGTACAAAGGCATGGGAAAGTGGTGGAGGTTTGGTCCGCCATATTTTATAACCATCTGTAAGTATACACCAAGAAATAATTATTGTTACAATAATTTAATTGTTTATGATACCAATAATAACTGAATCTTTCCTGATAATTAAACATCTGTAAATAATGTCTCTCCTTGCCAAAAACAAAGTTGTATTGTATCCAAAATGGCAAAATCAAACTTGCCTTTATACCATTGCTAAAGCTTATAAAACTGTCTACACACAAGACTTAGTGTCAAAGTTTATGAAACCGTTTATATACAAGAATCAAAGCATACAAAACTGTCTGTATACAAGGGTCAAAGCTTTATATGAAAACATGTTTTCAAGAGTCAAAGCTTACAAGAGTCAAAGCTTATGAAACTGTTATGATATATACAACATGTACAATAATCAAAGATTAAAACTTTCTATACAAGAGTCAAAGCTTATCAAATTGCCTATAACAAGAGTCAAAGCTTATGAAACTGTCTCTATACAAGGGTCAAAGCTTATTAAATTGTCTACAAGAGTCAAAGCTTATGAAACTGTCTGAATACAATAGTCAAAGCTTACAAAACTGTCTATATACAAGTGTCAAAGCTTATAGAACTGTCTATATACAAGAGTCAAAGCTTATGGAACTGTCTTAAGATATAAAGTCAAAGCTTATGAAATTGTCTATAAACAACAGTCAAAGCTTATGAAACTGTCTATATACCATACTCAAAGCTTGTGAAACTGTCTATATAGAAACTTAGTGTCAAAGCTTGTGAACTTATCCATATACATAAGTCAAAGCTCGTGAAACTGTCTATATACAAGTGTCAAAGCTTATGGGAACTCCCTTGACAAAAGAGTCAAACCTAATATGAAACTCTTTATACTGTTTATAAACAAGTGTCAAAGCTTAGAGAAATGTCTGTATACAAGTGTCAAAGCTTATGGGAACTCTCTTTATACAAGAGTCAAAGCTTGTGAAATTGTGTATATACAAAGGTCAAAGTTTGTGAAACTGTCTGTATACAAGAGTCAAAGCTAATGAAACAGTCTGTTTACAAGGGTCAAGCCTGTGAAACTGACTATATATACAAAAGTCAAAGCTTGAAAATCTATCTTTATACAAGAGTCAAAGCTTATGAAACTGTCTATATACAAAAGTCAAAGCTTACGAAATTGTGTATATACAAGATTTAAAGCTTATGAAACTGTCTATATACAAGAGTCAAAGCTTAGGAAATTGTCTGTGTACAAGGGTCAAAGCTTATGAAATTCTGTCTGTATACAAGGGTCAAAGCTTGTGAAATTGTTAATATACAAGAGTCAAAGCTTGTCTATATACAGGAGAAATTGTTAATATACAAGAGTCAAAGCTTATGAAACTGTCTGTATACAAGTGTCAAAGCCACATTTATTTGCATATTTGCAAGTAAATCGAAACAAGAGCGATCAGTAATCACATGTGTCGCCTCATGATGGCCAATTTCATGTTGGGACAAATTTTGTGACAGACAGACAGACGAACAGTGCACAACTAGACTTGGTACTGATCATTCCTGTAAAGTTTGGATAAAATTGCACCAGTAGTTTATGAGGAGTAGTCCGGACAAGCTTTTGCGTATCTGGCAACACACAGAAAAAAAGACCTTTTTATCAAAGGGCCATAACTCGGCAAAAAATCATTCAACCGAAAAACCCGTGCTATATGCGCAAGGACTTGAGCTACTGATCAATCCTGTAAAGTTTCATTGAAATTGCATGAGTGGTATAAGAGAAGTAGTCCGGACAAACTTTAAAAATAAAAAATATTAAAGGGCCATAACTCTGACAAAAATCATTGAACCAAAAAATTCTGACAATATGCACAACTAAACTTGGTACTGATCATTCCTTTAAAGTTTGGATGAAATTGCACCAGTAGTTTATGAGGAGTAGTCCGGACAAGCTTTTGTTTATCTGGCAACATACAGAAAAAAACACCTATTTTATTAAAGGGCCATAAGTCGGCAAAAAATTATTCAACCGGAAAACCCGTGCAATATGCGCAAGGACTTGAGCTACTGATCAATCCTGTAAAGTTTCATTGAAATTGCATTAGTGGTATAAGAGAAGTAGTCCGGACAAACTTTAAAAATAAAAAATATTAAAGGGCCATAACTCTGACAAAAATCATTGAACCAAAAAATTCTGACAATATGCACAACTAAACTTGGTACTGATCATTCCTGTAAAGTTTGGATGAAATTGCACCAGTAGTTTATGAGGAGTAGTCCAGACAAGCTTTTGTGTATCTGGCAACATACAGAAAAAAAACACATTTTTTTATCAAAGGGCCATAACTCGGCAAAAAGTCATTCAACCGGAAAACCCGTGCAATATGCACAAGTATTTGAGCTACAGATCAATCCTGTAAAGTTTCAGTGAAATTGCATCAGTGGTATAAGAGAAGTAGTCCGGACAAACTTTAAAAATAAAAATTATTAAAGGGCCATAACTCTGACAAAAATCATTGAACCGGAAAATGCTGACAATATGCACAACTAGACTTGGTACTGATCATTCCTGTAAAGTTTGGATGAAATTGCACCAGTAGTTTATGAGCAGTAGTCCGGACAAGTTTTGTGACGGACGGACGGACAGACGGACAGACAGACAGACAGACGGACAGACGGACAGACGGACAGACAGACGACGGAGAAGTGATCCCTATATGTCGCCACTACTCCGTAGAGGCGACACAAAAATGCTATCCTAAAAAGGATGCAAGTTAACAGTTGGTCTAAGGGAAAAGGTCACAAACTTTACCTTTGAGGAAAACTTGAAAATTGTAATATAAAACAGTAAGAGTTCAACATGACATTGTGACCAAATAAAATATTTATATTTTGAGTTCAAAAATCATAAAAATATACTAATCAATGCAATGTAAACTTAGCTAATACCCTTATAACTTATTGTCAAGATGTTACACATAGTTTATCATGTTAAAAGGCTTATTATGATTTCGAAATGCTTTTATTTTCATTCCCCAAAAAATGTTTTTTTAATTTTGGTATTCCTTTAAGTCTCCAAAAAGTTACTCATTGGCAAAATGCCTGAAGCATCTGCTACTTTTTGGCAATGTGAAGTACAGTTATTTGATGATTTAGTATGGAAGTCAAAATACTACTTTATTTACATTTTGCTACTTTTATATCAAATTATTTCACTAATTACCACTACTTTCATTATGTTATAAGCATCTAACAATAACTCTTAAACTACTATTTAAATGCTACAGAATTCATGTTTGTCCTTTCTAAAGAGTTAAAAAAAATTCTTTCTGAGGCAAAATGTGCCTTTAATGTATAAAAAGACAAGTTGGTTAAGTACATGTATAATAACACTGATCCTGCTGGAATCGAAAGTAATTAACCTTTAACCTTTGCTATAAGTATAGAGCCAGGCCAGCCTGCATTTTCGTGCATGCAGCCTGACCTTAAAGTCTTTTTACAGTGAGTATTGGCTCACTATCTTCAAATTTTCATCCTTATATCCCCAAAATTGAAATAATTAACAGTTTCGAAAATGGAAGCTTAAAGACATTTATTATTATAGTCTGTTTGAGAAAAATTCTGGAGGTTCAGGGATATATTATATAAGGTAGGAATGTTGGTAGTATAAATATATGAGTACAATTGTACCATGCATATAGTATTACAATCTAGCTATACTAATCAGAAAGGAAAGTCTAAACTACTGCATGTATGTTTTGCTCTGATTTTTTATAGTTTAAAGATGAAAGTCTTAAATCACTATGGCAACAATCATTTTCATATTTAAATGTCTTGATAATATAGATTATGTCAAAAAATATCACAGATTCATTAAATTAAGTCTTAATTCTTTGGGTCCTTTTGGTTTAATTTAAATTTTTATCATGTTAATTACAATTAACATTGAAAGCTTAAGTTATTGTAAAAATAATGACCATTACACTTTATATTGTCTTCTGCTCAGTTTTCAAATATTTCGTCACCTTAGTGCAGTAATGGGTTAAGTCCTTCAAATTTAATAGGAGTTAACCAGTTATTGCACTGAGGGGACAATTTTATCATAACATCCTCCAAATCAACAAACGGACAATTCCATTTACATTATACAGAGCTGGATTATGGTCTGTTACATTATATATTTTCAGGTGGTGGTGAGGGATTTTAAATTTGTCACCTTTTCCACGGAAAAGGGTCTGTAAAGTGTAAGACAAGTTGTATATGATCGACGTCCAGAGATATCGGTCAGTACAAAGAAATGAGTTGTACTCTCTGGTTTCTTCTCGTGTACCTTCAGACCATCTGTAAACACATACAAATCATACACATGCCAACACATATAACCAAAATATATAACAAATCAATCTGTAAGTAGTATAAATTACACAAATGCCAACACATATAACCAAAATGTTGACACATATAACCAATACCTATGTAAATTATAGTATAAATCATACACATGCCAACACAATATTATAACCAAATATATAGCCAATAAATCTGTAAGTAGTATAAATTTCACAAATGCCAACACATATAACCAATATCTATGTAAATAGTATAGAAATCATACAAATTCAAATACATAATAACCAATAAATCTGCTAAAAGTCTTAATTATACAAATCCCAACACATATAACCAATAAATCTACTTAAAGTATAAATTCTACAAATGCCAATAAATATAACCAATAAATCTGCTAAAAGTATAAATTATACAAATTCCAACACATACAACCAATAAATCTGCTAAAAGTCTAAATTGTACAAATACCAACACAATCATATAACCAATAAATCTGCTAAAAGTATGAATTATACAAATGCCAATAAATATAACCAATAAATCTGCTAAAAGTATAAATTATACAAATTCCAATAAATATCACCATTAAATCAGCTAAAAGTCTAAATTATACAATCCCAACACATATAACTAATAAATCTACTTAAAGTATGAATTATACAAATGCCAATAAATATAACCAATAAATCTGTTAAAAGTATAAATTATACAAATGCCAATAAATATAACCAATAAATCTGTAAAAAGTATAAATTATACAAATGCCAATAAATATAACCAATGAATCTGTAAACAATACAAATCATACAAATGCAAACACATATAACCAAAACAACACAGCAAATAGTATGAATTATACCCTCAGATGACCATGAGTCAACACCCTCAATTTTCATTAACAGACTGTGGTAGTTTTACACCATACATTTCTACTAATGTTTGACAGATATGTGCCAAAACATAAACAATGATGCAAAAAGACATCCTCCTTACATTGTTTTCACCTATCAAACATACTATCAGACTTCGGGTCACAATCAAAAATGGTGTTGTCAATCAAGAACAAAATTGTATCTAAGACAATTAACACACACAATGCACATGCCAAGACATACAACCTTTATGAAAACAATAGTTAAAGTAAGAGTTTAGGAATTGGATATAACATTATTAAATAAAATACCATGCTTAACATTTTTGGACGTCAAACAAGTATGCTAGTAATGTTTACATATATAATATACATGCAGCCTCACCTTGCCCTTTCTAATACATATTCAACATTCAGCGCCTCTTAATGCACTGATATTTTAAATGCGACACCATTGAAAATTTAGGTAGAACCTCGATATCACCTATTTTAGAAAAGAATAACGAAGGCACCATTTTGGTAGATCATTATAAATGTCTCTTTTGTTGTTGCTTTTTTCCAAAGGTTGGGTTTTACGTAGCACCAACACAATAGAGGTCATACATAACCTTCCAGCTTCACTGGTGGAGGAAATACCTCAGATGCCCATTTTTGCATTATTTCAGGTAATTAAGAGCAGGCAATGAGTAGAACCATTGACATTCTGTAAGCCAGCTGGATAGTTTAATTCCTCCCATGGAAGAATCCAAAATCCCTGGGGGGATTCAAACCTACACCGTGAGGAACAAGTGGTTTACGGTCAACATCCTTAACAAATTGGCCAGTTACACCCCTAATATGTTTCTCTATCTATCTGTGCTTAAAGGTGTTCTTCAAATAGTTAGAAAAGTTGGTCTTAACAATGAGGTAAACACCTGTTACGTACCTGGAAAACAGAATGTTGATATAGAGTTAATGACTTCATCACTGATTGGTAGTTCCGGTAAGGCGTTGTTTGAGCTACCACCAAACCTCGGGCGTGTAACGGTCATAATTGACATACTTCGGGCTAGCGACATCTTGGGGCTTAATGAAATACTTCTTGTAGTCCTGCTTGGGCTGAAAAAAAGCACATCAATTAAATTTACCAATATTCTGTAAGGTAAAATGAAATAAAGTTACAGTTATCATTTCTCAATGCATAAATTATATTTAGGTTAATAATGTAATGATCACTTTTAACTTTATGTAACCTCATTTCAAATTTATTTCATATGTATCGCTAAGTATGTATATTATGTGCCAAATGTTAAGTTCTAAAATCATATCTATGTATCTGAAGTGCCAAAATTTTTGTTCAGAATGATAGTAACACATGACTGTTACTATAAAAGGAAATCTATGTATCTAATGTTTATGTGACAAATGTTATGTTATATAGTATATTTATTCATGTGATGTAAATGTGACAAATGTAAAGTGATACAGAGTCACATATCTATGTATCTCTGATGTTAATGTGACAAATATGTGAATGAAGTAAATATGACAAATATTTAGTGTTATATGCATATCTATATAAATAATTTAAATGTGAAAAATGTTAAGTGTTATATGCATATCTATATAAATAATTTTAATGTGACAAATGTTAAGTGTTATATGCATATCTATATAAATAATTTTAATGTGAAAAATGTTAAGTGTTAATATATTCATATCTATATAAATAATTTTAATGTGACAAATGTTAAGTGTTATATTCATATCTATATAAATAATTTCAATGTGACAAATATTAAATGTTATATGCATATCTATATAGATGATTTTAAAGTGACAAATGTTAAGATATGCAATCATTATAATTGTGTAACATATGTATTTAATGTAAATGTCACAAATGTTAAGTTATACAAGTATATATCAATTTATCTGATGTAAATGTCACAAATGTTAAGTGTGACATGAATTAACTATGTATATGTTACAGGGAATGTGTGTAACATGGGATTGCACATAATCCCTGAAATTTAGGGGTTTCATGTAATCCCCTGGAGCTATACGTAAAATTCTGTCAGGGATATATATATATGATGCTAAAGTGATAAATGTTAAGTAATACAAGCATATCAAGTATTACGTATGAGCCGTGTCACGACAAAACCAACATAATGAGTTTGCGACCAGCATGGATCCAGACCAGCCTGCGCATCCGCGCAGTCTGATCAGGATCCATGCTGTTCGCTTACAAACCCTATAACAAGTAGAGAAACTTATAGCGAACAGCATGGATCCTGATCAGACTGCGCGGATGCGCAGGCTGGTCTGGATCCATGCTGGTCGCAAACGCACTATGTTGGTTTTGTCATGATGTGGCTCAAAAGTATCTGACGTGACAAATACAAGTATATCTATTTAACTGATGCTTAATATGAACAGCGCTAAATATGAACCTGATGTGCCAAATGTTAAGTTATACAAGCAAATCTGGCCAAGTGGTTATGGTCATTGACTTCAAACCACTTGGCCCTCACCGCTGTGGGTTCGAATCCCTACAGGGACTTTGGATTCTTTCATGTGAAGAAACTATCCAGCTAGCTAATGGAACGTTGAGGGTTCTAACTCAGGTGCCCGTTTGTGCCTGAAAAAATGCACGGAAGGGCACCTGAGGTCTTCCTCCACCAGTAAAAGCTGGAACGTCCCCATATGACCTATAATATATGTGTCGGTGTGACAGAAAATCCAATTAAAACAAAAAATACAAGCATATCTCCACATATACATGAAGTGCCAAATGTTCATCTGATTTATATATACAAGCAAATCTAATATATCTGATATGTATGTGACAAAATCTTAAGTCTAAATACACAAGCATATCTATTGATCACATGCATGTTATTGAACCTTTATCATTTTATAAAGGAACAAAAAAACTCTGTGTACCTTTAAAGCAAACCCAAACATGCATGCATACCGTAATTACTCTAAAAATCACATGATCATGTTATTTCATAGTAAACTGTGATTCCATACAACTAAAATGTTTCACCCTTAACCTGCTAGAACCAAAAATAAGCCTTCATAAAATTTGCTACTTAAAAAAGTAAGATCCCAAACCAGTCTGCAAGGTCCTGCAGTTTGACCAAGCTTTTTTAACTGTTGGCTGAACAACTTCAAATTTTCATCTTAATTAACTCAAATTTGATAATCGACAGTTACAAAAATGAAAGGTTGACTGGTCCATTATAGGAAACTATAAAAGTATTGAGTCGTTAGAAGTGCTCAACTATTTTTTATTGATAGTCTAAAAATTGCTTGACAGTTCCTCGATCATTTTAGGTGGGTCATGATGCTGACCAGTTCTTTACAATGTCATGCGCTTAAATATTGACTATTACAAATTAACTGAATTCTGTCGAAAAAGGGCTAATTCTGTCATTATAGAGTACTTAGTTACAGTTGCATGTTTACAAGTGCTCAAAGATTTCAAAGATTTGTTGGACTTTATTTTGATATACAACACTTTAATAAGTTATCATTATTAAAATTAATAATGCAAGATCATATGCTATTTTAATATTATAAGCCAGAGCCAAACTGATGTTGAATTAAGATTGAAATGGTGGTCATAAGCATTGAATTGGATTTTTTAAAATCATTTGACTGGCAACATTTATCCTAATCAATCAAATTTAAAATGCTTGAACCATTCAAGTAACAAATTTTGACGAACTGATATTAATTTATAAAATCATATTTGAAAATATTTTTGTAAATTAAATTTTTGTCAACAACCAGTTCCCACTGTCATGCAGCTTATACAATAAGCCATACTTATTAATCTAGTATATAATTACCAAGTTTGGTTTGTGTTCCAATTTTTTTTTTTTTTAACTTTTTTTTGTTACATACTTTTTCAATGAATTTTATATAATCAAAGAATTTATTATAAATGTATCCATCTTTTGTCATATTTCATTAGTTTGCAAACTATTTCATGATAATTATTATCAAGGGCCAATTAATAACCTTTTAAATCTTTTTTAAATTTCAAATGTCATATTTTTAAAATCTATTTTATTCAGTAAAGATTCAGTATTAAAAATGTTAGTGATACACTGACCAAAGTTCTTAAAACGTAATAGTTATTAACTATGTTTTGATATTCTAACCAGTCACACATTCATTTTTGTTCAAAACATTTTTTTAAAACAAACAATTCAGAGACCAACAGTGTTCATGTGATTTTTTGAGAGAATGTTACATGGAGATCAAATGGGTGACAAAACATCGAGCACTTTGGATTCCATTTATTTCAGAATAATCTACTTTAGAATATTTTAAATTCAAGTAATATGCTAAGTCATCCATTTGAGCAAAGGTAACTTGCACCATATCCACAATTCATGAATAAATGATACAGTCAAACCTGTGAGCAAAGGCTAATCAGAGAAAAGCCAAAATATGACCTTTTAAGACAAGTGGTCTTTATCTAGAGGTTATTGCTGTTCTATTAATTCCATTAAATATTGCTGAAAAGAAGCCTTTTTACAGACTGGTCTTTATTCCCAGGTGGTCTCATACACAGGTTTGACAGTATATATAATAATAGAAACATAACAATATATCACCTTGCTTCAGCATTTCTGTAAATGTGATACAGCATGTAACCTCATTAGAAGCTTCATTCAGAATGATGTTTAGTTTAACACAAAGAAAGTGTAATAGTTCAATGAATAATGCTGAATAGAATGTTATCCGGAACTCGGCAAATGTGAGTTTTGCTCAGCTAATCCTTAGGTACAAACACAATTTTACCATAATACAATAGATTAGTTAACCTGTTGCGCTTATTTTCGTAACTGTAACTATTAAAATTTGTTGTACCTATTGATTAGCTGGGAAAAGCCAAGTATTCTTAATTCCACTAGTAAGTCTATCACCTTAACCTTTAAATGTTGAATAAGCCAAACGCTGACAGATCAATATTACTTAAATAATGATCTTCAAAGGCTAGAGAATAACGTGTAAAATGCAGGATGAAACTTAATTAGTATCTAACATGCTTTTCTTAGTCATTCAGGCACTCAGACATTCTATTATTAGTAATCAACTGCAGAATAATTGGCATATTCCACTGTGACTATGGCATCAATTTATTCACACCACAATTTTTTGGAATTTTGACAAAGCTTTGTTACTTTAAGTGAAATGATGATTTAATATGGATTTGTTTGGACTCTGAAAATGAAAACAAGGCTAGTTGAGGTATGCTTAATATGCAACACCTTGACGCTGAAAGTTCTTTGAAAATTATATTTATGAGGTGTGAAATAAAAATAAATCTTACATGCAGAATAAACACATTTCTTTTGTTTTGGGTTTTCTTCTATGCTCGTTTCGTGACTTTACAGATTCTTAAGGGCATATTTGATTACATGATGTGTGCAAGTTGTTTACTGTATTGATGTTAACATATTATTTAGGCTGAAGTAAATTTCTGATGAAATTTCCATTCATACATGTACATATACATGAAATTTTCTTATCATCAACATTCAAAAAAGTAACATTAAATTCACTTCAGTGTTATTATAGTTTTGATCAAATAACAATGAAATAACCCAAAACTTTCTTTAACTGTCTAACTGAAAAGGAAGTAGTCAATGAATTGGTTTCCTTTTATTTCAATTGTTTTTGTTTAGTTGTATTTATACATGCTGAACATAAACCTTCAATAAATCAGAATTTGTTACCACAACAAGAAGGAAAACAAATCAAATTGATACCTGTATCATAAATTTAAGTTTTACATAGTTATCTACATGGGATAAATTTTAAATTCAAGTCAAGAGCAACAAATTGTAAAGCAAACAATACAGTCGTAAAAGTAAAATGATAGTACTAGATGTAGGTCATTGAAGTACCAATTACTATTGTATAAATCTTCTTAAATTACAGCTGTTTAATGACAATTAACAATTTATATGCAATTGAAACAAGCCCCCTCCTTGATGACTCAACTGTTCTCATATTTTTAGATAGCTGAACTTTGGACCTACTTTAAAGATATATTATTATTATTTCAGTCTTAAATTCATCCTTGCTAAAAGGGACAGAAACTTGTATGATAAAACACTGTGAAATAATATAGCATTAATATGCAGGGACTTTTTTGGGGCTTATTTACAGATATTTGGCCATATAATTGAAATTAGTATATTTAATTTTCCCAATCCACAGGGAAAAAATCCTAAATAAAAGTTGTAAATATTGAACAAAAATTCGAAAATCTTGAAAAAAATAAAGGCTTCTTCACTGTTATATCTAAGTGCTTAAACGTTAGAAGATGCCATCCTGGACAGTGATTGTTTTCATTCATTCAATAACTGCAAAATTTCAGTCATGCACTTTTCCCAATTTTGAACAAAACATTGCTGAAATTCCCAATTTAATGGATAGGGGTCATGTTAAAAAAATCCTGTTTTGGCAGTAATATTAGTAATACCAGGAAATTCATAAGATTGAAAGAGAAAAAGATATATGAGAAAAACTAAAATCTTAAAAAACGGCAGACATTTTTAACAATGAATAAATGTGTAAAATTACTGGATAATATACACATCATTCTATTAACAACAATTTTTCTCATAGAAAGTTATAGTGACATTTCCCATTCAAGAATAAATAGTGAATTTTCAGGAAAAATTCTAAAAAATTTACATTATATCTGTATTTTGTTTTCAATTTTATAATAAATGTCACCTGAGTAATAAGTAAGCACTCACTGTAACTTTGTGAATATTTATAAATATCCTTCGGGAATTATCAGTAATGTTCAATTCATTAAAAAAGTGGGGCAGTCCTCTTACATTTTTGGCAGTTTTTATATTTTATGCTAAACATTTGTGATTATCAATTATTGTTCATTATCACCATTAAAATAGTCAATCTGTTGAAATATAAAGTCAATAAAAGTATTATGTCAAACTAATAATAACTTACTGTCTTTTTTTACATAGGGTGATGACTAAATGTCTGTAATATAAAGAAATATACATGTATAATAGTCATATTTAATCAACGGAAAGCAGTGTATAATTATATGATACATACTGAAATGATTTCTTGAAATTCATGTTGAACTCACTCATCTTTCTATCTCTTATTTTCATCATCTCCTCAGTATGTTGTTCGTACAGCTCCTAGAAAAATTGAAGAAAAAAAACCCACACATATTGTAATGTTTACTAAACAAATCAAGGGTTGACTGCAAAACTGCAGTAACTTAAATGAAATAAAGGACTTACAACAGTCTTGCGGTCAAGCAATTTGAAATTGGTTAGCCAACAGTATTAGGAATGTTAGCATTGTTAGAATAGCTAGGAAATATCTAAGAATAAACCTCAAAAATATCATTTTTAGCTCGACTTTTCCATAAGAATAAGACTTAGTATAGAGCTATCCTAGTCACTCAATTGTCGGCATCTGCGTAACAGCTTATGTTTAAGTTTTTGTAACAGTCCTCATATATTTTCAAAGTCCATTGGCATATGGCTTTGAAACTGCACTCTTGTTTACCATCATGACCACAACCTGTAGACAGGAGGAGGTAACTGTATCCAGCATTTTGACAGAATTATGCCCCTTTTTGACTTTGAATTTGCTTTAAAGTCTGCAATTACCACCTCTAATATTTTCAATGTCCATTGACATTATGGCTTTGAAACTTTGCATACTTCTTCACCATCATGGCTATAACTTGTACACAGGAGGAGGTAACTCTATCAAGCATTTTGACAGAATAATGACCCTTTTTTGACTACGAAATTACATTAAAGTTTTCAATTACCACATCAGATATTTTGATATTCCAATATGACATCTGACTTTGAAACAAGTTGAAGTTTTATATCCTTCGTTGAGATTATAATAAATAGGACTTGCTCTAAGGCCTATAAATGTATCATGGATTTAAAGAAAAATTTGGCTTTTTTCTTAACTTAGAAAGTGTTACATTAAGGCTCTTTTACTTTCAAGCACTAAGAATAGTTGAGCGTGCTGTCCTACCGACAGCTCTTGTTTAACATACTTAGACATATAATAAATATATTTTTACAGTACAAGAAAACATTTGGAAAAGTAAATCACTTAAAATGGTGGAGAAAACATACTGCACAAGTTATGACAAAAAGAATGACAGCTATAAGCAACAGAAAAATATCTGCTAGTCTTTATGTCAAATATATCATACATGTAAATCAGGGTTTTTTCCCCAAGTATCTACTTTTCTCTACATAATCTCATGCAATGAATATCATGAAAAATAGATTTGCCAAATTTGCCTTCAATTTTATACAGGGATTTGGGGAGTGTAAACAATGCATTTACCTTCAAAACAATAAATATCTGACAAAGAGTAAAAAAAGAAACATGTACAACAGAATCGTTAAAATTACATTACTGCCATATTAATTACAACAATTTTGAAAGTAAACCTTTTTTTTTTAAATTCAGTAAAATTATATTGTTTCCATAATCTTTTGTTTGATTCTCGAGAGAGTTGTAATATAAAATGTCTCTTATATTAAACACATATGAATATTGTACATATAAAACATAATATAATATTCAGGAACATTAAAAATATTATAAGATCTGCTGTAATATATAGTAGGATTAATTTATCCCTACAAAGCAATAATTTTGTGCACTTTTAAGACAACGTACTACCATATTTTATTCATACAAGGATTTTTTAAGTACTCGGCATTTTTTTTTAAAATTTCAAAACAAATAATTTTGCAAAGCAGATATAGATAGACCTTTCACAGGAAAACTTGAAATTCTATTAAAATATTAATGAAATAATATCCAAAATATACCCCCTTGTACAGTAAAAAAAATAAACAAAATGTTTATTTATACTGTATAGTGGATATATTTTTGGACAATTAAATCATTAATATTTTGGGAAGGAATTTCAAAGTTTCCTGTGGAGCTTTTTACATTTTCAAAGGTCAAACTCGACAAGATAACTTTGGACCTGTCAGAGAGCCGACATAAAAACAACCGAGGTTTTACCTGAGTATTCCTAGGAAGGGTAACGTTTCCAAATCTTTGAGAATAGGGTAAAAGTTCCCAGCAATAATCATTTCCCACTAATGGCAGACAGCACTTTGGCTTCATACTTCAACTCAAATAAAGCATCAAAAATATTCACGTCAGCCTGGAATATAATTATTAAATATTAGAGTAATATTTTATTTTGCTACTTCATCAGCTATGAAGAAAATATTCAATATATCATTGTTTTCATTTTTGTCTGAGGCAACTATGTACCAATGAAAACAACCTATTTGGCCAAGGGTCAAGAGATATTTTATTCTACAGGCTAAAAATACAACCGATTTTACCAGCATTTCAATGGATGATATGGGCTGCCAATTTGATAATTCTTAAGACCCTGAAAGTCTAGCTGGTTCCAAAGGGGAAATAATATATGTAAAGGAAATCCACTGAGGACCATTGAGAGCCTAAAAATATGATATTTGAATTTCTTACATGTAGATCAGCCACAGCATTTAAAACAGAAAGATAAATTATGCAACAGATATATTGATTAAGAAATATGAAATAAACACAGAAATAAATTGAAAATCATATTTTTTGTGCTATTCTTAGCCTAAATTGAATGAAAAGCATAATGCACTGCTTTTCAATTTGGGTCATTTTTTTTACAATTAGAATATTCTGGAAAAACGGAGTGAGACAGGAGTGAATGATCTGAAATTTTGCATGTGGTCTATTAGTCTAGACCTACATTGATTCAAATGAAACATTAATCTCGACAGAATGAAAACTTCTTTAATTATCATAGCTGAGGTTGATAAAAATGTACAACAAAATTTTAAATGATGATAAGTTACTTACAGAATCAGGCACGGGAACCAATCCTGTAGTTTTCATACCACCCTAACAGCAACACCACCTCAGCCAAAGCATTTGGCAAGCACTAAACTTATTTCATTTCTTCCAACAAATTACAGCTTTAACATACAATTTATCACAAATTACGTCATGATGATTTGTAATATAAATTTCCTAGATTCCGGTAACAGGTGCTTGTGATTTGTTCAGCATGTGTCTATTTCTTTGCTACTTCAAGGAATTATACACTTCTACATGTACATATTCTCTAAAATGTTGGACCCATGTTGCTAAGATATGTATGAAAACACTCTTTGCTCTTTCACAAATACAGGTACTCCAAATAATCTGAAAAAATACAAGTTTCACAAGATAATGAAAAACTTTTAAAAAAATTGCCAATTGGCATTATTTGAATAATCTAAAGTAATACAAGTTTCACAAGATAATGAATAACTTTTTTAAAACAATTAGCAATTGGCATTATTTAAATAATCTAAAATAATACAAATTTCAAAAAATATAATCTTTTGTAAATTGGCATTATTCAAATAATCTGAAATAATACAAGTTTCCCAAGATGATACATATTGTTACCTTAGGGCTGTAACGGGTTACCTCTTTATATAATTAAATAGGAATTAACGTGTTACAGAACTAAGGTGATGATATCTGATTGTAATAGACATTTACATATAATGTAGTTATTTCCATATCTTAAATCACATAGTTATGAGCAGAGTTTTATTCAGACTTTCAACAGACAATCAAATCATTTTACATATTAATAATTTGTATACATGACAAAAGTATAAATAACTGAAACATATAACTATGAAAAATCATATGATATTATAACTTATTAATGCATTGTCACATTGTTGTAGAATATTTCTTGTAAGATTTTAATATTTTATAAGTACCATATAAATTCTTTTAACACATCGCCACATTGTTGCAGTATATTTCTAGTAAGATTTATCAAGTACCATAATACCATTAATTCTTTTAACACACTCTTTGCTTTTTTTCATTTTTTTTTTTTTGTTCGTTATATTGTTCAGGTTACAAAGCAACTTTCTAGTTACTTTAATATTATTACTGTTATTATTATTTGTTCTGGGCAAATTTTTGTGCTTCTCCCTGAAATATTTCTGGCAAATGAGTAAAAATGCCGGCTATATACATGTATGACCACAGGAACTGGAAATTCTATCAATATTAATCTGTTAATGATAATATCCAAAATAAACCCCCTATACACTACAGTATAAATAAACACTATATACTGTATAGGGGGTATATTTTGGATATTATCATTAATATTGATAGAATTTCAAGTTCCTGTGTCATATGACACAATTTTTTGTTAGATGTTCCTTGTTCAGAACATTGTCTCATTATAAAGTAATATTTCTGCCAAGTAGTTTCATATTCCTTCTATCTGTTCAGACATGAAAATTGTTAACAGATTGACAGACTGACAACAAGGTGCATAACATACATGTATTATACTTCGAATTTTTTCCATATCATTTTTTTATCATAATAACACAATAACTTGAACTGGTGACTGGAGTACATCAAGATACTACTAGTAAGTGTAGCACTAACTTGTCATGCCAGATGACCGATGTCCAGTAATCACATTATTGTAGACTGATAATTGAGGAAGCTAAAAGAATCTAAACTCTGGTGGAATTGATATGATAACTGATAATTTAATTCCCAATGTCACATTGGCAACATCTTAGTGAGTGCTTATTATAAAGAGTATGGTATTGAAATACCAGGTATGTCAAATAGCCCAAGTTAATTTATGTCAAGTCATGGTCTCACATTTTTTCATTTCATAAATATTTTAGGACTCCCAGTCTTATTTTTAACTTAAGAGTAATAATAATAAAAATATTATTCTGTTATACATTATGAATTGCTGTTTGACGTGATTTTATACATACCATTAAGCAAATGAAGACAACAATAATAACAACGACCCGAAACCGGAAAATATTAATTAGAAATTTGCTTAAAAGTGACAATGTACAGATCATATGTAAATTTATTGGTAAATGTTTAATAACACGGATGCGTTTTTATTTCATTGATTGAGTGACATGCAATAAGAAAGATGTGAAATGTCTACCTGTTTCACACATAAAACAATAACACTAAAACATCCACATTTATAATGTTCACAGATGGACACCCACTTCTTGACCTGATAAGATCCTATAAATAATCATCTCGTGCCCATCTCTACTTTCGTTTTCGATTTTTTTTTGGGATAAGTTATTAAAATTCTGCTATTCACTCCTCTTCGAGTCCTAAGGAAATTTTAAAATTGTAAACTAAAACTTATTTCATATCATATAAACTGAAAATGCATTTCAATATAGATCTAAATAACTACAGATAAGTGTTAAATAAAATCACAAAAATAAAAAACGCTCCCTGATCGCAACTTTTAACTTCCGGTTCCGCCACGCGAAAAGAAAATGGGAAAAGTTAAAAAAGCAAAAATGACCCGACCTGGTGGGCTTTCTCTTGCAGATCAGGTATTGGATGACAACAATGTAAAACAATCTAGCAGAACAAAGATCAGAAGAAAGGAAGAAAAAGATGACGAGGTATCATCATCAAATATATCTGAATTTTATGGGACGGTATACTTTGCAGACGACTTTGCAGACAAGTTAAACATAGAGGGATTTTGCAGACAAGTTAAATAAAGAAGGATTTTAGACTTTGCAGACAATATAGATTATATAGGGGATGTTTAATCCCTTGTCAACTGGTCAAAAGGTGTGAATGGGCAATTACATTGAAGTAACGCCATTTAGAAAGTATAATTAATTTGCAAAACTTTATTTAATTTAAAAAAAATATAGTTTTAATTTGATGTTTTTTTTTTTTAATTTATGCTTTCATATAAAAAAAATAGGAATATAATTAAAAAAATAATAATTGCATGAGACAGTGTATAATGATTATAACAAACAATATAAATTGTATCCAAATAAAGAGTAAAAGCTTTTAAATTAAAGTAAATCAATGATACATAAACAAAACATAGTAATGCAGTCTTCGACTTAACCCACTCGACCGACGACCGAGTCGAGTAAATTTGCGGGTGGTCGAGTGAAAATTCCAAGCTGGTAGCCCGTCTGGTCGAGGGCTTTTTTCATATCCAAATTAAGAAAATGTTGGAAATATGCAGAGCTCCAGATAGCAATGTTTTGGCTTTATGAAAATACAATATATTTCTGCTGAATTGGATGGAAAACTAAAAGTACTATTGTCAACACTGCTGTAAGTTGAAAACGAAAGTAGCAGGAAGTGACATCGAGTAAAAAGGGAAGGTAACTCTTGGGAGTTTCTGAAATGAAATTATTGATAAAGTTAAAGTTGGTGTAGTCATCGTAGGACTTAACCTAATATTCAATTTGTTTAGACATATATTATAATGTTTTTGCTACAAAATAAAGAAAAATGTTGTACTTGCCACTTAAATTTAGTTATTGGAAAACATATTTCTCCCTTGCCATCTGCAGTTTTTGTACTCAATATTTTCGTACCAAGTTTACAGTTACGGACAGTTTCCTCAAAGACTAATTCTTTGTGTATAAAAGTTTTAATTCTATTATATTTATTTTTCATTAATTCTAATTTTAATTATACATAATCAAAACCAAAGAACGGCACTAAAATGTAGTCTGTAGAAATAGAGTATGAATAAAGCCTCATGCTGACCTGTTATGTAGCTGATAGTAAAAGAATGTGACACATTCAAACAACAACATGTCAGCAACAAAAAAATGAGTCTTGTCATTAATTTGCTGTGTAACCTAAACAAACCCTAGTCTAGGGAAGCCTGCCTAACAACAGAGCAAGTTTTGTATTATTTAACAATTTGAATCAATATTTTATTATATAAGTCAGTCTGATTTATGTAAAGAAAGGGACTTTTTAGAAGGCAATGGAATTTGATAACAAAACAATGCAAATACTTTTTATAAATTTTACCCCAGAATTTTCATTTTACTCTAGATTTTGATTGGTAAACCACCTTGGCCCTAAAAATTAGTTGCAGCTTTATTGAACCTTAAACGCTTATGAAAAATTATTGATTGTTAGACATTTATTAGGCGTCATCTCATGCTTCACAATATGTCTTTTCTCTTGTATTTTGAAGGCACTAAGCCAAACAGGAATACACGAAAAAAAAAAAGTAATACGAAAAGGAATATAAATATGTTGTCAATGCATGTATCAGCCGACATGGTTACATTAAACGAGGAGAAGAGTATTTTCAGTTTTTAAACAATTTTTTTCAGTGTCTGTGGACAATGCCACAGAAATATCAAAATATCTTCTTTTAATATGTAGTTTAAACTCTTCTTATTTAAATAATGAAAGGAAGAAAAGTTGATTAGATGATATTTTAATAATGTTAAATGGTATATAAAACATAGAAAGTGTTATTTTTGTACAAAATGTATGCAAAAAATACCATTTTGGTTCGGGCTAGTTAAAATGTGTTTGGGCTAGTGAAATTTGTAAGCTGCTAGCCCGACTGGGCTAGTGCTGATAAAAAATTAAGGCGAAGACTGGTAATGAAGGCCAATATGCTTGTGTGACAAATAATTCCTGTTCCTGAATATAAGAAAATGTTGAATTTTGTAAGATAAAAGTAAATATAGAACACAATATATATTTTATAGGGAAATATAAGGCAAAATCTGTATTTTGCAGACAGAATTAAGGTTGAATTTTGCAGACAAGTTAAAATAAGAAGGATTTTGCAGACAAGTTAGATATAGAACAAAATATAAAATGATAGGGGATTATAAGGCAAAATCTGTATTTTGCAGACAGAATTAAGGTTGAATTTTGCAGACAAGTTAAAATAAGAAGGATTTTGCAGACAAGTTAGATATAGAACAAAATATGAAATGATAGGGGATTATAAGGCAAAATCTGTATTTTGCAGACAGAATTAATGTTGAATTTTGCAGACAAGTTAGATATAGAGCAAAATATGAAATTTGAGGTGACTATTAGAAAAATCTGTATTTTGCAGACACAATTAATGATGAACTTTGCAGACAAGTTAGATATAGAACTAAATATAAAATGATAGGGAATTATAAGGCAAAATCTGTATTTTGCAGACAGAATTTATGTTGAATTTTGCAGACAAGTTAAACTAAGAAGGATTTTGCAGACAAGTTAGATATAGAACAAAATATAAAATGATAGGGGATTATAAGGCAAAATCTGTATTTTGCAGACAGAATTAAGGTTGAATTTTGCAGACAAGTTAAAATAAGAAGGATTTTGCAGACAAGTTAGATATAGAACAAAATATAAAATGATAGGGGATTATAAGGCAAAATCTGTATTTTGCAGACAGAATTAATGTTGAATTTTGCAGACAAGTTAGATATAGAGCAAAATATGAAATTTGAGGTGACTATTAGAAAAATCTGCATTTTGCAGACACAATTAATGATGAACTTTGCAGACAAGTTAGATATAGAACAAAATATAAAATGATAGGGGATTATAAGGCAAAATCTGTATTTTGCAGACAGAATTAAGGTTGAATTTTGCAGACAAGTTAAACTAAGAAGGATTTTGCAGACAAGTTAGATATAGAACAAAATATAAAATGATAGGGGATTATAAGGCAAAATCTGTATTTTGCAGACAGAATTAAGGTTGAATTTTGCAGACAAGTTAAACTAAGAAGGATTTTGCAGACAAGTTAGATATAGAACAAAATATAAAATGATAGGGGATTATAAGGCAAAATCAATGTAATTAATCAATAATTATTTTCTTTCCTTTAAATTTATTATAGCTAATTATTTATTGGTATGCAATAATTAAAGATAGAATATCTTGATGATGTAGTATTAATTAATATCATATTAACATCTAGATGTAGTATCAATATCATATTTAAGACATTTTGTGCAACCTGCTATTTCCTAAGTATTTTAATACCTTTCAGGAAATAATGTTATTATTATTTTTTTCATTCCATGTCAGATCTCATTTTCATGAATGTATATATATGTTTTGTTTTTGCTATAAACATTGTAATAATGTTTTATTTGCAATAAAAGTATTTGTATTGTATTGTATTGTATTGTATTGTTATTTCAAAGTGTCAATACCTGTTGTATATTCAATTTGTTTATCTATGTGATATCTTGGTAAAACATCTTTAATGACAATTATATTTATGTAATAGAAAGAGCACCGAAACACGAGGTTATCTGATTTGTACGAGGGGGCGTAGCCCCCGAGTATTAATCAGATTACCGAGTGTTTTGGTGTTCTTTCTCTTTTGTATCATAGTCAAACATAAAAACACGTTCCTGTTGTCACAATGTGAAACCCCGGCAAAAATGAACCAATGAACGATCATCTGAATATGATATTTCTGTCGCTTTCCCTTTCTCTGCCGTCACAATATGTAAACCCCAGCATAAATGAGCCAATCAATGGGCATGCTCTGGAGTGCGGGTAACTAATACCCGCACTCCAGTTAACGCACTGTGCATGTATATGTATACGATTTAACCCTGACACATTTTCAACAGAAAGGTCTCCAAACTATGATACAAAGTAATATTAGATTTCTATCTATCTGTACAATTAGTAGGTTAAATTTATTCAGTTGTCAATTTTTTTTGTATTTTTCATCTTAAGAAAAAACTGACAACAGTTAGTATCTTGTCAAATTCTTGTATTTTCCATTTTAAGAAAGAAATGACAACAGTTAGCATCTTAAATTTATTCAAGTTTTGTAGCACCAAATACAACATTTCAACTTTGTCAAGGTCTTTATATTATCAATGATGTTCTTCTATTGTAAGAAAACAGGAACTTAAATTTATTCAAATTTTGTAGCAACAAGAACTTTCTCTGTAAAACATTATGGTATTTATATTGTATATCATGTTCTTACATTACATGATTGTTTACTGTATTGGCTATAAATGTATATTGTCGTTTTATGCCAAATAAAGAATATGTTATGTTATGTTATGTTATATTGTCTGCAAAATTTTTCTCTGTTTTACAACTGATCAACAGCATAATTGCCCATTCACACCTTTTGACCAGTTGACAAGGGATTAAACATCCCCTATATAATCTATATTGTCTGCAAAGTCTAAAATCCTTCTTTATTTAACTTGTCTGCAAAATCCCTCTATGTTTAACTTGTCTGCAAAGTCTGCCTGTATCTATTATATAAATGTAGATATATATACACACATATCTTTCACTGAGGAATTATTTAAAATGTTTTAATTAAATACTTCAAATTTGAAACATTTATGTCCGAGTACATGTTTTAATTTATTGTGTATTATATAAAATAGGGTTTGGATTATTTTTTAAATACTTTTTCTTTATATTGAAAATTATTGTTATTGTTTGTTTTTTCTTGTTTTCAATAATTATTATAGATATATCTATAATTATCCTTGTGTAATTATGTTCATATACTTATTAAGAAAGATGAAATATAACCATTTTGCTAATACCTTTTATAAAAATTTTCATATATATTTTTTTACTTATATAAGAATCACATTATTTGATAAATATGATACATTTAATAAAATGCCATTAAACTTCACTGCATAATTGCCCATTCACACCTTTTTACCAGTTGACACCCTATATAATCTATATTGTCTGCAAAGTCTAAAATCCTTCTTTATTTAACTTGTCTGCAAAATCCCTCTATGTTTAACTTGTCTGCAAAGTCGTCTGCAAAGTATACCGTCCCGAATTTTATGTGTTTTCGCGATGTATGTGACTATTAGTAGGTATAAGAAAGTCGTGTTTTCACACACTAGAATAAGGCAATTATATCCTCATAATCAGTTTTTGACACAATTTACAATACGTAACACTATATGTTTTTTTATTTAATAAATTGGCATTGCCCAAATTATTTTTCTCTTAGTAATAAACAAAGTTTTTCACTTGATGATAATACACCGAGTGGCAGTTTCCGAATTAGCAGACAACAGGCCATTCTTAATATGAAATAAGGTGCTACCTATGTCGTGGAAAGCTCTTATGAATTATGGTTTTAGCATAACATGTTAAGTGTACTTGTAAACCATATCTTTCTCCGTAAACAAAACGAATAAATTGGTAGTGTTCAACCTATCATCCAAGCGCTCGTTATATTCCGAAAATCCTGGAAGGTAAAGGAGGACAACAGCGCATGCGTCTGCATTTGGAAAATCCTGTCCACCATTTTTGTTAAACACTGATCACAAACGTTATTTTTTAATGCGCTTTTTTATCTAAAAGGATATTTTATAATCGTTACAATATAATTATAGTTCTTATCAATGAAAATACATGTTTATTTTCTGATTTTGAACATCATTCTTTTACCGGGAGTGTGTTTTAGCAAGCGTCTGAAGCAATGAAGAGCGCTGCAGCGTCGCAGGGCCTTAGGCCCCGCTCGGACTCTCCGTGTATCAGTATTAAATAGGCAAAGATAAGGCCGTAAAAACTTTTGTTCTGATCACCCAACAATACCTGGAAAAATACATCCTACCCCTTCCGTTTTTTTAAAGCTTAAAAATATATCCATTTACGTCGTATCAAAGGTACACATTATAATTTTGAATAAAGTGTTGAATTCCTATAGCTGCCTTAATTGTCTGAAAGGACATTTTTGGCAACTGATACATATATTGAGTTATGGACATGGTAATGTGTGACAAATCTTAATCTGTTTTTTTTAGTTTAATCTGTTCTTGTGTTAATGCCAGTAATAATAAATCCATATAACTTTCAGTATGTAGATGATAAACTGTCAAGAAAGATTTTGGATCAAGCAAGAAACAGCAAGAAGAGTTAGAAGAGGAACATGGGGCAACCAGGTACATTGTAATGAATAATTACTGGGATACAAGTTCCAACTAAAATCTTATACCAGAAAGACATCTTAAATATATACTAAATCTATGTGCCAATTTATTAGTTATAAGCAGTATTTACCTGGCAGGCAGCGAAATAGCGAAAATCCTTGCAGAACCAACATTTCCTTTGAACTCGAAATGAAATTTAAAGAAATTTAAAACGAAATTTTAAAAAATTATATTTATTTAAATTCAATTTCTGCTGAAAAAAAGTAGCTGTTAACTTAAGCTCAGTAAAGAATCTGTTACAATTTCTTATCAGGATGAGGTACACTTTAATGCAGATGCTTTCTTTAAAATAAGATTCATTATAATTTACGAAATGTGTTACATTCCTAAAGTTAAGGATATGATTAGAATAATAATGATATTTCTACTTTTGATCAATTATACATTATAATGCATTGATGTGAAATTTTCTGCAGCACCGCAGCAAAGAAGCCTCAACAAATACAGTTGGGCAGGGCTAGACTTAAGGGGGTGGAGTCAGATGAGGAGGAATCTGATGAGGAGGAGGAGCATGAAGAATTTTATGAACAGATTGTAAGAATTGAAATGAGAATTTATATTCTGGAACTTTTAAATGAATTGTTAGAAAACAATTAATACATAACTATCTATTTCATAAAGTTTTTAGTCCCCTACCAGTTTACCGGAGGGGACTTTAGGTTTACCCTCCTTCCGTCTGTCTGTCCGTCCGTCCGTCAGTCCGTCCGTCCACAAAACTGGATCCCGCGATAACACAAAAAGTACTGAAAATATTTTAATGAAACTTGATATATGGATAGATGGCAGTATGGAGATTATGCACGTCTTTTTCTTTTCTTCCTATGTTGAAAATTCTGGTTGCTATGGCAACAAATAGACTAAAAATATGGCAAATTTTACACATAACCTGGATCCCGCGATACCACAAAAAGTACTGAAAATATTTTTATGAAACTTGTTACATGGATAGATGGTAGTATGGAGAGTATGCACATCTTATTCTTTTTTTCCTATGCTGAAAATTATGGTTGCTATGGCAACAAATAGACTGAAAATATGGCAAATTTTACACATAACCTGGATCCAGCGATAACGCAAAAAGTACTGAAAATATTTTTATGAAACTTGACATATGGGTAGATGGCAGTATGGAAATTATGCACATTCTTTTCTTATCTTCCTGTATTGAAAATTCTGGTTGCTATGGCAACAAATAGACTGAATATCAAGATTTCTGATTCTAGTTTTTAAGTTTTTTCACTATAAGTTCTTTATTTCTTAAAGGTATTTTCTTCAAACTTTAAATATAAGTTGCTAGTCATCAACCACATCATATGTGACAAAGTTTACAACTCTAGCACAAAATTTATCAGAATTACCTCCCTTGAACTTAAAATTTTCATGAAAAAAAATTGTTTTTTTTTTTTAATAACTTCTTTTTTTTTTTAATGTATCTACTTCATATAAATGTTTCTTATTATCACTCAACATTTGTTTGTGTTCAATACTCTAGCAAGACTATTTCCAGAATTATGCCCCTTTTGAACTTTTTTTTGAGAAATTGGTAATTTTTACTCCAACTTCTACAATCATGATAGGATTTTCTTCAAACTCCCACATCATAATAATATGACAAGGTTTATAAATCTAGCATCCATATTTCCAGAATTATCTCTTCCTTAAACTTTTAATTTTTCCTATTCGTTCTTTTAACTTTCATTTACTTCAAATTCAAAATAAACATTAAATATTCATACCTTCATTACTAATTGTTCTTTGTTACACTCACATCATGTATGACATCGTTATCTCCTTTTTTTTTAAATTTTTGTTTTTAAAAATGTTATATTTTGATAACAGGGATGTTTAAAAAATAACTTTAAGAGTGTCCTTCAGTCCGTCTGTCTGTCTGTACATAAAAACTGTTCACTTTGATCACTTTTAAAGAACTTTTCAACAAATTTACTTAAAATAGAAACATAAGTGAATGGCCCTTCAGAATGTTGCTTTGGCTCTTACCGGTAGGGGACTTATGGATTGCTTGCAATACTATGATAATTGCTTGTAAAACATTGGAGGTTGTTTAGATAGTTATAAATGAATTGTTGAGAATCTGGCCAAGCCTTTATGAGGAATGGTCATATTGAAAAGTTTGGTACTAAGCTATATGCCTTGCTACGTGAAAGTGAGAAAAAAACTATCAAACATGTGTTAAGAAAATTAATGTGTGCTATTTTACAAACATTATATTCCTGACAAAATAATTAAAGTAATACAACATAAAGAAAAACAGAGCCCAGTACTGAGAACCTCAGAGCATTATAGTAATCAGTCACTTGGCCTGCAAAAATGTAACAGACCAAGACTTGAGTGTGATGTCCATTGTGTTTGGGGCTGACATGAATATTAGTTTAATGCTTTACATTCCTAAATAATGTTGCCATGAAACAAATTTTAAACAGAACCTTTGACAAATTATTCTAAAATGTAAATCGAGGGTTGACTGCAAAACTGTAGTAACTTTTGTGAAATAAAGGACTTAATAACAGTTAAAAATTGCAGTCAGTCCTCAATATTAAATATGTGACCATAATTATTTAAGTCATTTTAAGCGGAATATTTTTTTCTTGAAAGACATAAATGTAATTGTTATGTGATATTTTTACCAGGAAGTAAATGACGAGGACGAAGAGGCCCTGGCAAAGTTCATGTCCCATAATCCTCCAGCTAGACGCACACTGGCCGATATCATACAGGAAAAACTTACCGAGAAGAAAACAGAAATTCAGAGCCAAATGACAGGTGAATAAAATAACGCTAAAATGTTTAGTTTGGAAAGAAAAACAAGAAAAGAAATAAGAGACAATATGATAGATATATTCAGTCTTTACACTATCTGCAATAATTTTAACTTTAAAAACGTGAATTTTTGTATGACAGAAAGATCTTGGTTTCACTTACAAGATTTAAAAGCTTAACAGATCTTTATTTTTCCAAAACGTCTAAAAGTTTAAAAAAATATCTTTTATGTGACTAAAAAATATTTCTTGTGAGAAAACCATTCATGTGATTTGTTGATTGAAGGTCATTATTTTAATCTACATAGGTTCTCCATGTGTCAATATTTATGGTGTGCCTTATATGTTAGGCAAAGTTTTCACCCACCAGGAAAATGACCATATAAAATATTATGAGCTTTGCGTGTGGCTTAAACAAATCTCATTATTATATGCCCCCACTACATAGAAGTGGGGCATATAGATTAGCCTTTTCCCCTCAGTTCTGCTGTCCATCCATAAACTGACAAACTGTGGAATGTGGGGACATTTGTGCCCTTAAGACTCATTCCTGTTCAATTTTGTATCTTAGCTTTTGGGTCAGACAAAATATTATTCATTTGCAGGTGCTCTTTATCATTAGATGTAATTGAAACTACATAAACTATATTTTAGATAATGCCAGTGTACAGTTAGATCAGCTGGATGAAAGATTGGTCAATATGTACAAAAGTATCAGGCAGATTCTACAAAGATATCGTAGTGGAAAGTTACCTAAGGCTTTCAAAGTGATACCTTCCCTTAGAAACTGGGAACAGGTAAGTTTGGTACCCTCTGTTATGCAAATATGTTTCTTTCGCAGGTCATTTCAAGTACTGGTAGGGATATTTTAAATCATGGCAAAATTCCGAGATGATGAACAATTGTTGTTTGGTAAATCAGGCATAATTAGCTTAACCAAATACAACGGGTTTACCCATTGGATTTTTACAATTGTCGTTTGGAATGCTAATGGGCTTATCTTATTCATATTATTGTATATTTGTTTCTTTGATTGGGTTTTATTTCACACCAACACGGTATTGGTCACATGGGGACGTTCCATCTTAACTGGTGGAGGAAGACCTCAGGTGCCTTCTGTGCATTATTTCAGGCACAAACAGCAGGGTTGCCAGCGGACTTGAAAAGTCAGGGAAATTGGGTATTTTTTCAAGGTCAGGGAATTGTCAGGGAATTTTGAAATTTGGTCAGTGAAAAATGAAAATCCTGAAAAATCAGTGAAAAGTCAGGGAAAAATTATTTCAAAGGTCGAAAAATATACGCATTGAAGGTCTTTCTTGGCTATGGTAGTCTTTAGGCATTTAATATTTGACTTTATCACTCTCACAGTTAAGCATTAAATTCAAATAACAGTAAACTGTTATATTAAGAAGCATTATATGTTAACTTAGTGATTATAATACCCATTATTTACCTTAGAACATCATTCAGCCTAAAGACTGAAAGGCTTTTCAACCCTTGCCTCCAGAGCTGACTAAATACATAATTTTTGTTGCATAATTTAACCAGTTTCCATCATGTTTGCAAGACAAATCCTCTTGTACAATTTCTTAGTGTCAAAGCAAAAAGCAAAGCAGGTTATATGCCAAAATGGTAGTTTGGTATACATGTATACTGACTTGATTTTGTTAGTAATTAAAAGCCCTTCTTTGCTTTTTGCTTTGACACTAAGAAATTGTACCAGAGGATATGTCTTGCAAACATGATGGAAACTGGTTAAATTATGCAATGCTATGTTTTTCACACTAACTTTTTTTCACACTAACTTACTTCACTCATTCAAAGTCTTTAATTTTATAGTGATTATTTCATGATATGCCAAAATGAGCCCTATGTTCTTGTTTTCACAATCAGTGGAGTTTATCATGATGCCTTATACAAGTAATTGTGTTAAATGTTTATTGTTCTTATAGTTTAGAGATGTTTGAATTTTAAGTTTTGTCATTCAAGTATTACTCTTATAGTCTTGGTGTTTTATGAGTTACTACTAGGAAGGCAAGAGTGACTTATGTGATTTCTAATACAGATGCTTATATTTATATGATTCTTTTGATTTTCATGTCATATGTTTCACTGACCAACAGTCACACTGTGTTTGAATAGAAATAATTAAGAATAGTAGAACACAATGTTTGAATCATAACTTTGATGTAAATGTTTTATATTTTGGAAAATAAATACAAGTTTACATGCAAAAATATAATGGGAGGATTGGACGGCTATAGGGGAGGTCAGGAGGCCGTTTATGTGTTTGACGATTTTGGTCAGTGAAAAACATGAATTGGTCAGTGAAAAGTCAGGGAAAAGTCAGGGAATTTTATTTCACCGAAGTGCTGGCAACCCTGAACAGGCACCTGAGTAGAACCACCATGTTTATGCATAGAGACAATCAATTATAAAACAGACTTAAAGATCCTGTATGTTTTGTGATTGATATTGTTATTGTGTATATACCACACTTGCAAATGATTATATATGTATATAATTATGCAAATAAAACAATTTTCAAACATCGAAGAATACGTAAAATGTGTGCTGCAAATATTTGTGCACATTATATTTAACCAATAAATTGTATGCATTTATTTCTTATTGGAACATTTGACTTAGAATTTATAGAGAATAAATTTCTTGTTACCTCCCTTTATTTACATGAAATGTTAAATTCGTAATATCTTTATAAATAATGCTATAGGAACTTACAATATTGACAAATCTTATTTTGAGCATCATATTTTTGAAATAAAACCGTGAACAAAATTTGTTACAGGATCTTTAAATGTAACAAGAGCTGTATGCATAGGACAATTTATTATAGTATCAAAGACAGTGAATTTTATGCTGTCTTTGTAAAGCTATCCAGCTAGGTTACGAAACATCAGTGTTTCTACTTAGGTTCCTCCTCATGCCTTAAATAGTGCACAGAGAAGCACCTGAAGTCTTCCTCCACAGTAATTTTGGAATTTAGTAGCCCTATGATCTTTACTTTGTTGATGTGATGTAAACCAAACAAAAAACAACTACAGTAGTATTCACTTTGTTCAAAATTTCAAGGGGGGTGGAGGTGTTCAAAAAGTTTTTTGTCATCTTAATTATATAAAATCAAAACTGTAGCTGAAAAAAAATAACATATTTGCAATTTCATGCTTTTTTTTCACGATAACTATGAAATTGAAAATACATTGATTTTCATAAATAATAGTGGATATTGATTTAATGTGAATAAAACCAATTCTAAAATATAGACATATAGATGTAATAATGTATATTTCAGATATTATATCTAACAGAGCCAGAGACCTGGTCTGCAGCAGCTATGTACCAGGCAACCAGAATATTTACTTCTAATCTCAATGCCAAAATGGCTCAAAGGTAAGAGAAAACAATAAGTGTATAGTAGGGCTGTCATTGACAGAAAATTTTGCATCAATATATGGACAATAAATCGAATTGAAGAGCTTGAGCATTTGAATAAATGTGATAAATTCTTATCATGGTGTATGTAAGCATCTTTTATACAGAATACTAAAAGAAAGTATGTTTTCTTGTTATCATGATTTATAGAATTTTAAAAAATGAATGATCCAGTATGCAAGCTAGGTAAGAAAAAATGAGAAAAGTGACTTTTTCTCGTTATGCAAAGTAGAGAGATATTTTTCACAGGACATGAAGAAACAAGTTTTAAACTGTATGGAAATTTTAAATTGTGAATCAGTATTGTATTTTTTGTTGAATATCGATGATATTATATCAATATCGCGATTTTAAATGAAAGCCCTAGTTTATAACAAGTTGAACAATTTGTCTAATGTATCAACAAAATTCACAGTTTTAGGTTAAACAATCTTCAGTGTTCAGACTTTCTGCTTATTGAACATGGCTTTGTGACTATCTTTGTATTGTTAAAGATTTTGTACTGCAAACTCTTAAATAAAGATAACATTTGATTAATTTATGAGCTTATGACAGTTTATTCAGCTTAAAGGAAAAGGGGCATAATTCTGAAAGCAATATTTTTGGAGTTATGCCCCTTTTCAACTTTACTTAGTATTTTTAATGGACAAGCGTTGACACTGTTTTAGTCAAATATAACATGGTCTGCTTTGGTCACATGACTAGATTCAATTTCCACCAGCAAGCTTAGGGTTTATGTTCTTGTTTTCATTTATTTATTAGTCCCCTACCGGTTTACCGGAGGGGACTTTAGGTTTACCCTCCATCCGTCTGTCCGTCCGTCAGTCCGTCCGTCCACAAAACTGGATCCCGCGATAACGCAAAAAGTACTGAAAATATTTTAATGAAACTTGATATATGCATAGATGGCAGTATGGAGATTATGCACGTCTTTTTCTTTTCTTCCTATGTTGAAAATTCTGGTTGCTATGTCAACAAATAGGCTGAAAATATGGCAAATTTTACACATAACCTGGATCCCGCGATAACGCAAAAAGTACTGAAAATATTTTTATGAAAATTGATATATGGATAGATGGCAGTATTGAGATTAATGCACGTCTTTTTCTTTTCTTCCTATGTGAAAATTCTGGTTGCTATGGCAACAAATAGACTGAAAATATGGCAAAATTTACACATAACCTGGATCCAGTCATAACACAAAAAGTACTGAAAATATGTTTATGAAACTTGACATATGGTAGATGGCAGTATGGAAATTATGCACATCCTTTTTTATCTTCCTTTGTTTGAAAATTCTGGTTGCTATGGCAACAAATAGACTGAATTTCAAGATTTCTGATTCTAGTTTTAAGTTTTTCACTATAAGTTCTTTATTTCTTAAGGTATTTCTTCAAACTTTAAATATAAGTTGCTTGTCATCAACCACATCATATGTGACAAGGTTTACAACTCTAGCACAAAATTTATCAGATTACCTCCCTTGAACTTAAAATTTTCATGAAAAAAAACATTGTTTTTTTAATAACTTCTTTTTCTGAATGTATCTACTTCAAACTTTGTATAAATGTTTGTTATTGTCACTCAACATTTGTGAGTGTTCAATACTCTAGCAAGGCTATTTCCAGAATTATGCCCCTTTTGAACTTAGACTTTTTTTTGAGAAATTGGTAATTTTTACTCCAACTTCTTCAATCATGATAGGATTTTAAAAATGTTATATTTTGATAACAGGGATGTTTAAAAAATAACTTTAGAGTGTCCTTCAGTCCGTCTGTCTGTACATAAAAACTGTTTCCTGTGATCACTTTTAAAGAACTTTTTCAACAAATTTACTTAAAATAGGAACATAAGTGAAGGCCAATGGCCCTTCAGAATTTTGCTTGGGCTCTTACCGGTAGGGGACTTATGGATTGCTTGCAATACTATGATAATTGCTTGTTTTTTTTACTTTTCAGATTTTTTAACTTGGTTTTGTTACCTAGGATAAGAGATGACATATCTGAGTACAAGAGATTAAACTTTCATTTATACCAGGTAATTATTCTGAAATATTCATTTTTTAATTAGGCCAATCAGCTATCAGTTATTTCTCTGTTTGCTTCTCAAACCCCTCGTGTGGAGATGTAGTATTAGGAATTGTGTGTTCTAATCCCAGGGCTGGTTTGTTTGACCCTCGGTTGGGGCGAAATTTCTATGCGACAATTTTATGTGGAGCATTAAGTCTACATGTAATTGTCTCTCACCGCTGATTCAGAAGTTGTGTGGAAACAATAGTTGGAAACTTGAGAAGAGATTGGTTATTACTGGTTTGTTGTCTAGGAAAGCCGATAAAGTGGGGCAACTGTGAGATAAGACCCTAAAAAATGTGTTAAGAAACCAAACAAACCTGTTTTGACATATTCTTAGTTTAAATGTGGTCAATGAATGTATTTTGAAATAGCAGTTATCATTTAAAAAAAAAAATGAGAAAGTTAAAAGACTTTGTTTTGAATTTGAGGCAGTCATGCTTTGGTTTCATCACACACAACAAAGAGTGTTGTCTAAGGTTTGAGGTGGCCAATTAAAGCATTTGAGACAATCATCTTTGCCTCTAGCCACCTGGAAAGGACAACCCTGAAGTGACTATATAACATCATTATAATGACTTTTTACAGATATAAATGAACAGTGTTGGTGCGACATAAAAAAATGTAACATCAGTAATCTAAGCATATGATTTTCATCAGAATTTGATATCTCTTGCCATTGCTTTTCTTTTGACTGAGGTTTTATTTATAAGAGTAATATATCAATATAAATGTATATATATTATTTATGTTTTAGGCACTTAAAAAGGCTTTATTCAAACCAGCGGCTTTCTTCAAAGGAATTTTATTGCCACTTTGTGAGGTAGGCGAGAGTGATTTCTGTTTTAAGTTTTCAACAAATAATCAGTCAATGACATCCTGCCTAACTAAGTACAAGAATTGTTAGGTTTACAGACCTCTGGGTTGTGTTTCAAAGAAAGTCCTAAATCTGAAATCAGTCTAAAGACTAAGCCTTAGACAATTTTGCGTTTCAAAGAAAATGTTCTAACATACATGTATGATGACTCCTATTCTATGACTCCATCAAATGGTGTCTAGAAATGCAGAGAAAAGTAAAATATTTGAGGTTGAGGCATGCGCTATTGTATTGATAAACTTTTGTAAGGAGAACAAATTTAATGAAAGTATGTCTTTAACTTAAAAAATCTTGTATGTTTTGTGATTGATATTGTTACTGTGTGTATACCACACTTCCAAAAAATCATATATGTATACAATTATGCAAATAAAACAATTTTCAAACATCGAAGAATATGTAAAATGTGTACTGCAAATATTTGTGCACATTATATTTAATCAATAAATTACATGTATTCATTTCTTATTGGAAAATTTGTTTCAGAATTTATAAAAAATAAATTTCTAATTACCTCCCTTCATTTACATGAAATGTTAAATTTGGTAATATCTTTATAAGTAATGCTTATCGGAACTTACAATATTGACAAATCTTAATTTGAACATCATATGAAATAAAACCATGAAACAATTGTGTTACAGGATCTTTAAAGATAATAATGTTTATTGTCCTTAGATAGCCCTAAAGTTAGTCTTATGTCCTAGGACTTAGATAAACTTGGGCATCTGTGAAACACTAAGATAGGACTTCTGTGAAACACAGTGCAGATTTATATCTTGTGTAACTAATATCTGCACTCCAGATATGGGTTTATGATATAACTCTTGCACATTTTTAATAGAATGGTATCCAAACTATGATACAATAATAATTAAAAGAAGCATTGTGCAAAATGACCTAAAATTAAAAAGTGTATAACCACGTTTTTAGTGAAATCAGGCTAAGAATGGCACAAAAAGATTATTTTCAATTTAACGCTGAGTATGCTACTTAAATATCTTTTGCATATTTTTTATGTTTCTTGCCCACCAGTTGATCTATTTTAAAATTAGAAATTTAATGTTTTTATTATACATTTTGAGCTCAGTGGTGCTACTTTAATTTACAAAATTGTGTTTACTTATTATATTATCATACCTACATTTTATTTCCTTCAATTTTCCAGGCAGGCAATTGCACGTTACGGGAAGCTGTGATAATTTCGAGTATTCTAATGAAGAACTCAATCCCGATGTTACACTCGGCGGCGGCCATGTTGAAAATTGCCGAAATGGACTATAATGGCGCTAACAGTATATTTATTAGAGCACTGTGCGATAAGAAGTACGCTTTGCCGTACAGAGTTGTTGATGCTTTGGTGTTCCATTTTATAAGGTGAGATTATAGTAAAAAAAGATTTATATACTAGTATTGAAGTTTTATTTGGAGCTTAATCACTTATGATTTTGAAAAAAAATATTTTTCTTTAAGGGAAATTTTTGCATGTTATGAGTGACTTCACATGTTAAGTTTACAAGTTGAAAAACTTAAATGCTCTGTTACTGTATTGACAGAGACTGCAGGAATGTATAAATAGAGCAGGGCATTTTCTCTCTATACCCAAGGGGCCAATGTAAGGTGCCTTACCCAATCTCAAATTGATTGTTTTTTAAAGAACCTAGAAAAAAATCAAATCTTTTTAAATTGTAACTGTATTGACTTGTTCCATAAAGAAGTCAAGAGGTAACTCTGTCATACTGGTAAATTAATCTTAAAAGTCATGTTAAAAGTAGTATTTTTAAGTTTGTAAATTTTCTCAAATTTATGAAAATGCCATAAAAATTATATCCATTACTTCCAAAAATAGCTTAAAAAGTCCCTGAATGATGTGTTTTTTTGTTTATATGGAAGCGTAAAAATCAATGTTGGGGATGTATTTCTTATCTAAAGAATTCAAAAATTAATTATTACAGGTTTACAACAGACAAGAGAGAGCTGCCTGTATTATGGCATCAAAGTATGTTAACCTTTGTACAAAGATACAAAGAAGATATCTCTAGTGAGCAGAAAGAGGCAATGATGGAACTTTTACGTGTACATTCTCACGAACTTATCACTGCTGAGGTCAGAAGAGAATTGGCGCATTCGAAATGTCGGGATTTAGAAGTGGGGGATGAGGGAGGGACAAGAATGTATGTGGGCGACTGATTGACAATTTTTTAATTTGACTGTTTGAAAAATAAGAAGAGCTGTCGAACTCACCTAGGTGCAGGCGTCACACTTAGGTTAAGTTTCTGCTTGCAAGTTTTTATCTTGGAACTAATGAAGGGAATGGGTTGAAACGTAACACTTTTATTTGAGAGCATTATAGGAGGTGACTTTTAAGTCCCATAATTCTCTTGTGAATTATGACAGAATTATTTTTTTTCAAACTTTTAAATTTTACATTATCCAAGCTCTTGTTGTACTTTCAAGCACTGATAATAGTTGAGCATGCTCTTGTTTAACCATTGTTAACCAGGTTTTCCGAAGGAAAAAACTGGTTATTAGATTGAGGTATGTCGGCGGGCGGGCGTACGGGCGGGCGGCGGGCGGCGTAAACAATTTCTTCTGTGCGCAACTCCTACATTTCTCAATGGATTTTGACCAAAACTTTCACAGGAGCTTTGTTATCAAGTGCCCTGGTGCATATTGTCGGGGTTTTTCGATTGGATAATATTTGACCTAATTATGGCCCTTTGTTTTTTTTCCTTATATAGAATATATAGTGAACAATTTCTTCTTAGCGCAACTCCTTCTACATTTGGCAACGGATTTTGACCAAACTTTCACAGAAGCTTTGTCATCAAGTGCCCTGGGGCATATTGTCTGGTTTTGCGATTTAATAATATTTGACCTTTTTACGGCCCTTTGTTTTTTTTTCCTTATAAAGAATATATAGTGAACAATTTCTTCTGTGCGCAACTCCTCCTACATTTTTACACAGATTTTGACCAAACTTTCACAGAACCTTTGTCACCAAGTGCCCTGAGGCATATTGTCGGGGTTTTGCTATTGGATAATATTTGACCTAATTATTGCCCTTTGTTTTTTTTCCTTATATAGAATATATAGTGAACAATTTCTTCTGTGCTAAACTCCCTCTACAATTCTCAAGGGATTTTGTTCAAACTTTCACAGAAGCTTTGTCATCATGTGCGCTGGCGCATATTGTCAGGGTTTTGTGATTGGATAATATTTGACCTAATTATGGCCCTTTTTTTTCCTTATACAGAATATATAGTGAACAATTTCTATCGTGCGCAACTTCTCCTACATTTCTCGACGGATTTTGACCAAACTTTCACAGAAGCTTTGTTATCAAGTGCCCTGGCGCATATTGTCTGGGTTTTGTGATTGGATAATATTTGACCTAATTATGGCCCTTTGTTTTTTTTCCTCATACAGAATTATCAATATATAGTGAACAAATTCTTCTGTGCTGAACTCGTCCTACATTTCTCAACGGATTTTGTTCAAACTTTCACAGAAGCTTTGTCACCAAGCGCCCTGGCACATATTGTCGGGGTTATGTGATTGGATAATTATGCCACCGCAGCATCTGCGATGCGGTGGCATATAGCGATTCACCTGTGTGTGTGTGTGTTTGTTTGTTTGTTTGTGTGTGTGTGTGTTATATAGATTATATAGTGAACTTAAAAAAATCTTCTTGTGAAAAAACCACTAGTCCAATTTCAACCAAACTTGGCAGGATTGATCCTTGGGTGAAGGGCTTCCAAAGTTGTTCAAAGAATTTAATTCCATGCAGAAATTGGTTGCCATGGCAACCAAAAGGAATTATAAGAATAAATTTTAAAAAATCTTGTAAAGACCAACAAGGCATAGAGCTTGACATTTTGCATAAGGCATTGTCTGGTAATCCTCTACCAAGATTGTTCAAATTATAGCCCTGGGGTCAAAATCGGCCCCGCCCGGTGTCATTGATTTTTCACTATATGTACATATAGTAAAAACTTAAAATACCTTTTTGTAAAGACCCATAGGCCTAGAGCTTAGATATTTTGCATAAGGCATTGTCTGGTAGACCTTCTACCAATATTGTTCAAATTATAGCCCTGGGGTCAAATCAGCCCTGCCCCGGGGTCATGGATTTTCACTATATGTACAATTCATTTAGTAAAAATTTAAATACCTTCTTGTAAAGACCCAAAAGGCCTAGAGCTTAGATATTTTGCATAAGGCATTGTCTGATAGACCTCTACCCAGGTTGTTCAAATTATAGCCCTGGGGTCAAAATCGGCCCAGCCCTGGGGGTCATTGATTTTCCTCATATTACATAGTAAAAACTTATAGTAAAAACTTTAAAAAAATTTCTTCTAGCAATTGACAAATGCTAGAGGTTAGATACTTTGCATGAAACATTGTGAAGTGAACCTCTAGCAAGAATGTTCAAATAATAGCCCTGGGGTCAAAATTGCCCCCGCCCCGGGGTTATTGATTTTCAATATATACATATAGTAAAAAATAAAAAAAATCTTATTGTCTGAAGGTACAAGGCTTAGAGCTTTAATATTTGTTAAATGATATCATCTTTAGGTACTCTACCAAAGTTGTTCAAATTTGCCTCTAGTGTCAAAATTAAAAGTGAACTTTGATATCAGCTGACCTAGATTTTGACAAGTGTATTACATGTTGTCCTTTGATGCAGTCATGAAATTTTAGGCTGTGTGTGAAATATGACCTTCACCACCAAATTCACTAGACTCAAGTGCATTGATATATTCCTACTCTGATCTTTTATTGAGTTAACAATAGATTTAACCACTAATCTGATAATAAGAATTAGATATGCATTATGACAATCTTCAATTGTATAGAAACGAGAAAAAAATATGTTCCTACACTACTATTTAGTGTTGTATTATTGCGGTGGCATAGCATTTTTCTCAAATGCAATCTTGTTTTTGACCTAATTATGGCCCTTTCTTTTTTCCTTATACAGAATATATAGTGAACACTTCTTCAGTGGCAATTCCTCCTACATTATTCATGTTTTACATTGCACATAGTTACATTGTTTGTTGCGTGCATTTGTATTTCAAATACAACATATTTATCTACAATGGTGATAATTGAAAACCTGGTTTCATGGCATTGCCATGTTTCTTGTTTTATATGTATTATGAAACATTATGCTGTTGTTGAATGTCTGGTTTTAAAAATGAATAAATGATATTGTTAAAAGTTTCTGAAAAGTTTTTTATTAATTTGCTGTTTTATTTTGCTGAATTTGGATATGTCAGCCATATACAGGCATTTGGTCACTAATTTGACATAGATTTTGGCGGGAAAGGAATTATGGCAAAATGTAAACTTATTTTGACTTTCGCCTGTTCACTCACTATACCCTTGGATGAGCATAATGTCACTTGGCTAAATAAAAAAAAACAACACTTTATTACTTAATTATGTCTCCCCCACCTCGGGGGTAGACATATTGTTTTTGCCCTGTCCGTCCGTCCGTCCGTCAGTCCGTCAGTCCATTCTTCGTTTCCGGACAATAACTAGAGTTCCTTTTGACCTACAGCCCTCAAACTTCATAGGATGATTGGTCTTATAGAGCTGATGATCCCTATTGTTTTTGGGGTCAGTAGGTCAAAGGTCAAGGTCACACTGACCGTTGGTCAATTTCTCGTTTCCGGATGATAACTAGAGTTCCTTTAGACCTACAGACCTCAAACTTCATAGGATGATTGGTCTTATTGAGCAGATGATCCCTATTGTTTTTGGGGTCAGTAGTTCAAAGGTCAAGGTCACAGTGACCGTTGGTCAATTTCTCGTTTCCGGATGATAACCAGAGTTCCTTTTGACCTACAGCCCTCAAACTTCATAGGATGATTGGTCTTATAGAGCAGATGATCCCTATTGTTTTTGGGGTCAGTAGGTCAAAAGTCAAGGTCACAGTGACCGTTGGTCAATTTCTCATTTCCGGATGATAACTAGAGTTCCTTTTGACCTACAACCCTCAAACTTCATAGGATGATTGGTCTTATTAATCAAATGATCCCTATTGTTTTAATGGTCAGTAGGTCAAAGGTCAAGGTCACAGCGACCGTTGGTTAATTTCTCCTTTCCGGATGATAACTAGAGTTCCTTTAGACCTACAACCCTCAAACTTCATAGGATGATTGGTCTTATTGAGCAGATGATCCCTCTTGTTTATGGGGTCAGTAGGTCAAAGGTTAAGGTCACAGTGACCATTGGTCATTTTCTCATTTCCGGATGATAACTAGAGTTCTTATCAGTGAGGACATTTAACTATTATTGATATATCAGTGATATATCAGTTGTCTGGTTTTATCTAATATTCATCACTTATTGACCATATCTACCAGAGAGGCTTGATTGTGAAAACGAGTGGAGTCATCCCAACACACTACAGTTATCATGATTTGACATACATTGAAATTTGAGTTGTCTTTCAATAGTGTAAAAAAATCTGACAATATGAACGTTTGTTTCAAGTATCATCAAAATCCTTTAAAGGTTTGAAGAATTATGGAGCAGACACAATTTCATTTAATTTCATTTGTGAAACTATATATGATATGACCATCAAGTGCAATTTCGTTTGACGAGTGCCTGCCATACGCTGATTGAATAACCAGGATTTTCAAAATTGAATACCTGGTTAAAAACAAACAGTTTAGGAAGCATCTTCTCATACAACCTTAACAATAGAAACCATCCATAGACAGCCTTCATTGAAGTGACTACCGGGTATTTACATTATCTTATCTCCATTTCCATTCCTGTTTCCATTCACAGTTATTCTCAGCAGTGGGGGAGACATGCGCTTTTTTACAAAAGCATCCTCTAGTTAACACTGTGCTTAGTACTGGTGCCACATAAAGAAACGTGGTTGTGATTCCATTAGTGCTTCTAAGTTGCATTTTATTTAAGGATCTGGATGATAATATTGTACATACATAGCTGTTTTCAGTTTATGGATTAATTTTCATTTTGCCTAAAACAAAATACGTTTGCTGTATTATAAATTCATTATAAATGAGCCACGTCACAACAAAACCAACATAGTGCGTTTGCGACCAGCATGTGCTCTTTCACGCAATCTGATCAGGATCCATGCTGTTCACTATCAGTTTCTCTACTTTTAATAGGGTTTGTAAGCGAACAGCATGGATCCTGATCAGACTGCGCAACTGCCCAGGCTGGTCTGGATCCATGCTGGTCGCAAACGCATTACGTTGGTTTTGTCGTGACGTGGCTCATCTGACAAGTTATAATATGATATTAATATAAAAGTCATTTAAACCTTTAAAGCACCACCAGTTACTATGGAGACACATTTTCACTGAATTAGATCATGATTCCCTGTTTCCTGTTACTTTGTGGGGGAATTTTTAGAGAACAGCCCTCATATGAGCATTCATTGGGTGTTTCCGTAACTATACTTTATCAAAATATTGTAAAATGCCGGCCTATATAGCCCTAACTAGGTTCACAACAAGAAA